ATATAACCAATCTAAGATTTTTCCTTTTTGCTGCAAGATTGCAATGAAAGGCCAAGAAATCATCAGAGCAATGATTAAAAATATATTTTGGCACACAGTAATAATAAACATAAAATATAAAACATAACCTCGAGGGAGAGGATAAAGTCAGACAGAAATGGGACAACATAATCTCCATCTTATATTTACTGCAATAATAATCATCATCATAATCATAGAGAGAGAGTGGGCTTCAATCTTGATGAAAAATGGACCGGTTCGTGTGAGCCGGTTTATCTAAAATTCGACTCCGATCACTCGACCGCACACACACAGAATGCACCTAAACTTCTGCTTGGGCAGCTCACAATTTGCGTCTACTCGTCCATGGAAGGTTAGGCCGCCGCACAGGCTCACGCTGTAAAGGCTCCCTTTGTCATCATCCTGCCTGCAGACTCTTCCCATGCACTCTATTAATTTTGCTGAGTATCCCATGTGCATGGCTTCCATTCTGGATAAAATCTCTTCTACTTTCTGTGACTGCACTTCAATTATTGGAAAGCTGACACTGCCTGGGATTCAATATAATGTTCTATTGTCCACGATTTATGTGGGTATAATTTTAAGGCTGAAATTTTACTGTCTAATGAATCCAAACTACAGTGCTTTTTGGATATAATTGCAAGAAAAGGGACCGATGATCGTCGACGGCACATTTGCTTTCTGCTAGTTTCGCAGTCATCTTCTCGACAATAATTGAGGAGGCAGATACAGGAAAAATACACTGCACTGTTCTCTGCCTCGCATTTGTTTGCGCCGTCTGTTTACGTGAAGTCTCTCCCTCTTTCTCCTCCCATATATGTGTTTTCCGCCTCGCAACAATCCAAAGTCATGAATGCACTCATTCGTGCCGTCTTCTTCAGGTGGGTGTTCCCTTTTGCTTTCCTCCACTTTATGTTGTGGATGTGGAGTCCTATGATTACAAGCACCCATCCGACAAATATATTCGATAGACAAAGTGATGGCTTCAAATTCTTGTGCCCCATTTAAATTATTAGCTTACCATCATCGGTGTGTTTAGGGCAGCTATGACTGTTGCTAGGAGAGCTAATTCTTTGGTGAAACGTTGAGAACAATTCTTGCGGCTTATTGCTACAGCGAAGCACAAAGCGTTCAAGATTGAAGATGAAACAACCACACGTGATTGCTTTGTACCTACACTTCCAGCTCCAGTATTGTACCAGCAGCAAGGTTATGTTTTGTCCCTGTTTCGCCACCCGATGTAGAAAGCTTACGCTGCAAACTGGAGATGGTGACTCCTTTGCTCAGCTCCAATACCCCTGTTCGTCAGCTTCTAAGATGGAAGCCAAAAGCTTGACATCTAACATGTTGTCTTGCTGAAACTGGTCCTTCTCCATCCAGTTTCCAATCAGTGCTCCATCGAGGGACATCAAGTCGTCTGGATAGAAGCCCATGTTCGCGGCGTCATCGGCTTCTTTTGATTCAGGGTTCTCGACTTGAACGCCGTCGTCTCTCTCTTTCCAAGCATCCGAGCTTGAAGGGAAGGCTGCAACCACGTCCAGAGAAGAGCCAAATGGAGAGATCTTGGAGCAGCCATCGGATTCTTCTGGCGCCAAGCGCGGAGGCATGCAGGCTGTATCTTGGCCGAAGAACGCCGTGGTGCACCTTAATGCCTTGGTCTGGATCACCTTCGAGCCAGTCACCGGCGGCGGCGTGGCGACCGCCGTGTCTTTCCCTTTGGATTGGGCTGTGGCGGGGCTTGGATTACTCGGGAGCTGTGACGACCCACCTTGCAGTCTCTTCACCAAGGTGGTGTTCCAGTAGTTCTTGATCTCATTGTCCGTTCGCCCTGGCAGTCTTCCTGCGATTAGAGACCATCTACGGTCCCCATTCAAGAAAGAACGTGTCCAGAACAAGCTCAAGAAAACCACAGATCAAGGATCCAACAGAGTTGACCATATCGATCTAGCTAGAATTAGCCTCGAAATAAAATGAGCTGGTTTTTAATGCAAGTACACGAACCGTATCAGATGATAATAGTTATTGGAGCCTCGATCGCCCGCATGTTAAAGACACAGTAACGATGGACGGCTACGCTACCGTAATTACTCTCCGCAAAAGTTGACTGACCTGTTGCCAAGGAGCTTGTGGAGTCTGATGATGAGTTCCTCCTCGTCGTCCGATATGTTCCCCCTCTTGATCCCAGGCCGCAGGTAGTTGAGCCACCGGAGGCGGCAGCTCTTCCCGCATCGCTTCAAGCCTGCAACCCCATGGCAGCCATGCACTATTGAACTTAATTGAGAGCAAGGGCAGTGAGTAGGTAAGTCTCACCAGCTCTCTTGGGTAGAGATCCCCATTTGGTTGTTCCGTGAGTTGAGATGTAGGAGACAAGGATCTTGTCTTCGTTTGCAGTCCATGCACCTCGGTTGAGCCCCTCCTTTGAACAACAAGGCTTCCTTCCCATTCTCTCTCGCTCTCTCTCAAGGCCTTAGATGTGAACAGGAAGTGGAGAATGATGGCCCTTTATAGCTTCCAAGGCTGCTTTGACGTGGGATGTTTGACAGGTAGTTAGCGAAAGCTGAAAAGAAATAGAGTATCTTCTTTATTATTCGGCTTTTAACAAATGATCCTCCTAATTGATTTTTATCTAAAATATTTTTCCCAATTAAAATCAATTAGTGTAACCTCATTTGATAAAACCCTCCATACTAAAGACTTCTAAAAGAACACAAGTCATACATAGTGACAAACTAGTTTTACGTATGATGGTGCAAAGCTCTTCGATTGATGTTACAAGGCATTTGCAAATGTGGCATGATGTGACTTGGCTATGCTTCCTCAACTCAGCTCGAAATTGTCTCATATTGTAATCTGTAAATGTGATCGTATAAGTAACTGTCATTGTTCTCTTTGTGTTTCAAAATCTCATTCGTATCTGTCACCTTTTTCTTTCCCAAGTAAAGGAAAGAGAAGAAGAAGGGTGAGAAAAGATAAAAGGATGTGTTACCAATAAATAAGGTACGGATGACAATGGCAAGTCATGCTATAATGTTATGTTTCCTACAAAATCCATAGTTTAAGGGGCGTATAATCCTACATATTTCACTCACGTGCATGTCCAGTAAACAACGAACACATGCAAATTGGATTCTCGACTTAGATCCGAACCGAGGATCCGATAAGTTGTCGGATGCGGGTTGCGATCCAATTTGGGACGGCAGCCGCTCCTCCGAGACGTGGCGGGGACGGCAGCCATGGCACTCTAGATCTGCTTGCTCGACGACATGAATGGTCGGGACCCATTTGGCCCATCGTTTGCGCACCCGGAATCTGCATCTCTCTCGCTGGAGATTGGTCCATGGAGAAAGCACCAAATCCCCTGCCCCTGTTTCTGTCCGCTTGTTCGAGCCATCGTTGATTACCGGTTCATGGTTGCAGCTGTTTGTGTGAAGGTGCAAGGAAATCCATGGTAACCATGGACAAGTGTCAGCCTACATCATGAAGGCAAGAACATTTGAACAGGTGCTTCAGCTTGTTCCATATCTTCTTCTTCTTCTTCCTATTTGTCTGTGAGAAGCAGAAGGCGACACTCATGTTTGCGGAGGCCAATTAATATTGATGATCCACGGTGACTGGCCTGCCTGCACATGAATTCGGGCTCTGATGCATCGGAAGCCATGTGTGATGCTGAACTCATTAGAACAATGACATGATCTTCCTACTGAAAACAGACGCACGTACAGCGCTGTCAACACTTGAAAAGGAATAGCACAAGGGAATTGCAGGTGTTCCCTTTTGGACCGGAGGCTGCGGTAGCTGCTCCCCTCCCGTTTCCTCGCTAAATGATCTACCGCTGTTTTGGGAAGCTCTTCCTCCAACTTTTGCCGTCCGGACAAGGAAGCGACGAGCTCAGAGAATAGAGAGGAACTCGCAGGCCCAACGCCACTAGAAGGCGTTTAATCGTCTCTATTTCTCTCCATGGAACATTAAACACACTTCTCTGCAGGAAAGAGTCACGGGCATAGGCAGAATCAACGATCTGATGGTTTGCAGGAGTTCTTGCGATGGGTTTGACTATCAACCCCCAACAAGGACAATGGATCTGACCCAGAACTAAATGTTAATCCATCATCTACCTCTGTCAAATCCGAAGCAGAGGAACGCAGCAGGGACTGCTGCAGCCCAACAGCACTCCCATTTCCGTGAAACAGAAGATCATCGGCCACAAAGGAGGGCAAGCATCACAGGCTGTGATCCCGTACATGGGAGCCAGAAAAAGGCAGGCCTGCAACACAGAGCCGCAGACATGCCCCACACCATGAAAGCTGAAGACAAAGTGGAAGCGAGACTGCAGTCACTCGCAAGCAGCATCGTTTCACTGACGAGAGCTAAGGATTATATTCCTCAGGCTGGACCCGTCCAGTGGAAAGCAGATGCTGACCCAAAAGCCAACCCAATCATGGACCACTGCTTCCTCTGCCCTCGAGCAATTAGATAGAACTTTTATGGAACGCTCAGACAGGGCTCCGCCATTGCTGATGGATGTCCTGGGGAGACCGACCATTGACCATGCCGATGCTGCACGCATCACTCGTCTCTCTTGCCTACTTGTACTTGTGGGGCTGTTTTGCTGGTCGAGAATTAGTCCCTGCGGCAGCTTTCCCCCAAAAGACTCGTGAGGAACCCTATAATTGTCTGCCCACAGGAGAAGGGATGCTCCGATGCCATGCAAGTTTCGGAGAAGCTCTTGGATGAATCTTCGTTGGTAGGGTCATCATCGACTTCATCAACAAGTCCCCAGAAATCCTCCACCCGGAGTGTCAGTGGAAGCGTAGAGAAGAGCGAGGAGCTTCGGATGTCCGGTGTTCGCCATGACGTTGGGTGGAACTCTCTGAAGGGATCATTCGTTCTTTCCTAATTATATCTTCCTCAAACTATTAAATAATTCTTTTCCCGATAATATTTTAGCTTAAATCACCAACAATTTCAACCAAAAAAGATATGAATTAGTGTTCATATGCTTGCAATTAAAGAAATAATGTCTATTTTTTTACATCTTAAATAGAAAAAGATTGAAGCCTCTCTTCCACTAATCTCGCTTCCTCATTCAGCTGAGTAATGGACAGTGGATTCATGGGGTTGACAAAATGTCAAATCCCAACATTAAACCGCACTCGACACCATCAACAAGCAAGACATCGACACCTCCACAAAAAATTGCTTCCATCGATGGCATCCAGATCAACCGCCCAGCGAAGCCTTGCACCTGAGCACAACTCCAAGAACCAGAAGTAGCACAATGATCCCACACGAAGACCCTCCAAATCTATGGATCCAATAGGGGTCAAACCTCATGATCCTGCGGTCGGCGCAGCACGTAAGGTTGATGACGAAGACCAGTAGCAGGAGCAGGAGCCACAGCGACAGGGCTCCACCGCCACCGTCGTCGTCCGGCTCGACCCGCCCTCTCCTGCCCACGTACAGCGGCGACAGCACGGCGAGAAGCCCCACCGTGATGACAACAAGTCTCTGTGTGGAAGAAGACAACCCCCCCATGCAGCTGCTTTCTTGGGGCCGTGCCACCGGGCCTCCCTTGGTGCATTTATGCCACCGAGCAAAGGAATCCCCTAAAGATAATACGACCACTTTCTTTTTTTTATCTTGGAACAGATGAGAATCTATTCTCGAGGACTACTAATACAGTTGTGTGAAAAAGATTGTTCTGCATGAACCAAATGAATGAGCGTTTGGTGGAATCTGATGCTTCACCGAGTGGGGAGGAAACCCCCACAAAAGCAATCTGAAATGCAAATGATCGCCAATTACCTCATCTACTCTGCAAGTCAACTAGAAATCAACTTCACTATCCTCCTCTGCAATGCATAAAAAATCAAAAAGAACTTGACTGTCAAGGATGCTTGATCAAATTGTATATAGTTTATTGCAACTTTGATAGGGCAATCTGCTAGCTATCATCAATAGGCTAGTGGCAACAACAGCTTGTTAGAATCTAGAGACTGAAGCTACAAATATTTTCCAGAAGAAAGTGTGTCGAGGCATGGACATGATGCTAAATTGCCAGTTCATGGTTTCTGGAGGGCATGTGCCTCAACCAAGCACAAGCATCCCAATTCTTTCGATTGTTATCTTTTGACATCACCCTTTCCCTAAAGGTTTTCAAGCATCACTTACCATGCACTAGAAAACAAGTGTAAGTTAGAAGGTTGGAATCACTCATTCCATGCCTGTCATTTATCTCCGGATGATACCATCAAAAGTCTTGCTTAGTGGCAATTTAATTGACATCATATGAGACACACAACAAAACAGGATCATCTTTCTCCACAGATAATATTAGTAAATATTTCATAAAAGTTCACACAGATATGTGGCATTGTTCCTCAAGCCTTAGCTTGATAGTTCACACAGAAACAGTCAGATATGATCTTGATATGGAAATCATTTTTCACATCAAAAAACGGCAAGCGATTACTGGAAGAGCTACAATTCGTTTAGGACGAACGTAAACCGCATGTTCGACATCGCCCATGGGGTTCTGATGTTCATGTTGGCTTATGAATGAAATTTCAACTCAACACATGGAATTCAGCTGTACATTGTCATGGATCAACCTAAAATCAACCAATCTGTCCCTATAATTTCCTAGCTTAAACTCTATGAAGAGTTTCAAAGTCATTATCATTCAACCCCAAAATACTCGATGTGTGCACAATCCAAATAAAACATTCAGACTAAACCAAATGACAGTTAAGTTCTAACTCCCATTGTCTTCATTGTGTACACAATTCAAACGAAAATCAAGATAAACCGACCGGCAAGCAATTTTTACCGACCAGAGTTTTAAATGTTCTCAAATCAGATTGAATTATAATTTGAAAAGTCCAAAATAGAAGCTTGCCAGGAATATATTGAAGCCACAAAAATCACACCTCTTATAGCATATACACTGAAGGAATTAATAGAAAAACTTTACCTTGGATATCACATAGAAATAGCACCTCAAACATCTGATTATGGTACCTTTAGTACTAATCAATGATATAAAAGACATATTTCTGAAGGGGAAAAAAGGTACGAGTAATGAACCTTTGAAATCGTATAGTAATTGTCGTCAAACTAAACGTAAAATAAAAAGAAAAAGATCACTGATTTTAGCAACCAAATCACCAACCTCTAAGTTCAACACAACAAAAGTTTCATCAGAACACTGGCTGGACTCTATGTACACTACTTCTAGCCTGTCACTTTTATTTCACAAGACATCAAATCTACTATAAAGCAAAAGATAATCAACACAATCATCCTAGATTCTTTGATTCTCTGCCAAAAAAGAGAAGCGGGGAGGTGCCCTAAAATATTTCTCTGGATACCTTGATCACCGAAAGAGGAAGCCAATGATGCCTCTTTAAAGTCTATCGAGAAACAAAGATAGAATCTTGGGCATGTTGACCTCATGGACCTCTCAAATTTGCTTCCCAATGGATTTGGCTTCATGAAATCTTTCTCGAGTGTGTAGGCATATAGCTGCACAGGGTTGCTAATCCTTCTTGCTGTACCGTATTGAACCAACTCACTTGTATATGCCTTCGATCATCATGCTCATTTCTCCTCTATTATTTTCTTGTCATGTTTGTTGCTGATGTTATCAATCAGTATGACCAGATTCTAATTGATGAATTATGACAGACTAAAAAGTACGCCAGTAGTACAAGATGATACTCATTCTTATACGAAGATTACATCACATAAGTAAAAGAAGACAATTAAACTGGAAAATCCATTTAGCAGATTGTTCATACTCAATGTGGAAGACGTGCCGTGACGTAACCAAATCAAACAATCGTTTGATACATCAATGCTCTGTGTATAACATCTAAATCAACGTGGATACGACATAATCGACACATCTCAATCAACAACCACTGGAACCAAAAATCCACAATTTCAAACGAATTCTAGCACGCAACAACAAGATTACAACCCGATTCACGGAACACTGTTCGAATTCAACACGAGAAGGAACAATTACTCCGGAAAAAAAACCCCCAAATCATCGAGGACGCCCAACTTCTCACCTTTCTTTCATCGCCCTCCACAAGTACCGGCCGCTGGCCATGTCAAGAAACACCCAGAACCCATTCTCAATCGCCTGTTCGCGAGAAATCATCATGGTAACAAGCCTCTATCCCCTCCAAACGAAAAAGGTAGAATACTGGTTGAGAAATCCTACCTTTCCAGCTCGAAAGATTCGGGCTTTGATGGAGGAGTCGTCACAGGGGGTGTCGATCTCGTGGGAATCATCGGAGACCAGGGAGGGAGGAGAGGAACGGATCGATTTCCAGGCGAGGAACCCGGCGAGGGCCGCGGAGAGGAACACGAGGATGAAGCGCAAAGGGCACATCGTCTACTGTGTTCCCCCACGCCGACCCACCGGGAAGGTCAACACGAAGGATCGGCGGCTTTAGGACACCGACGGTCAGCAAAACACGCCAAAAAGGTCACACGACGCGTTCTAATTTAGTTACTTTTTGTCCCAAATTGGTTTCCAACGCGTGACAATATTAACTCATTCTATAATTAGAATAGGAAACCCCTGCTTAGGATGGCTGAATCACCAATGATCATTTCCAGGGGTGATGTTGTCCGCTCCCGACGCCCGTGTGAGAGTTTCCATGGCTGATTCAGCCACTAAATAATAAACTGACAACCATATTTAAATCGATAAAAAAATATTTAGATGGATTAAATTTTGAAAAACGACAAATATATTTTTATATAAATATTTGGTAGAAAATCTACCATCTACAAATAAGAAAAATAAAAAATATTTTTTTTATAAAATTAAAATTACTCTCTATCCATCGTGGATGAATATACAATACGACGAAATGTAAACTTTTTATTTATTAACAAGGAATACAATCATAAGTTTTATTCTCTTTCTTTATAAAAAAAGATAATCCAAACTTTCTTCTCATCTCTTAAGATATAAAAATATATATTTTTTCTCATTTCTTAAGATATAAAAATATATTTTAAATAGGGGAGAGATTCTTCTTTTTTTTTTTACTATTCAAATCTATATTTGGAGATATCATATTACTAAAGATCAAATCCAAAAACTTATCTCGATCTCGATCTTCATACAAGTGACACATCGAATTCGAATCAGACTAATTTAAGCATCAATAATATTTTTAATAATATTATATTAAATTTTATGCTTAACAATTTTGAAGGGTTGCCAAATTAATCTAAAATATTATATAATATATAGTTAAATTATTCTACATCTTTTTTTGTTAAATATATTTAGCAAAATATTTTTCTAAATATCATAAAAAAGAACATAATCCTTCGATATTGTATCTAACATCATAACAAAAGGAATCTTTTCGAGGTCCTTATAGCCGTTCTCGGAGTTGACTTTTCATGTGCTCTTGTTGACCCAAACAATGGGCGGTGATTTGAAGGCAGATCTGCGCTGGTCAAGCTGAGGTGGAATGAGAGTAACTTTTACTTTTTGGAATGAAAAAAGTCAACCCAGTGATCCAAAATCCGGTTTATATGATGAGAAGGTCAGAGCAAATTCGATAATTAGGAGGGTCGAGTTGGATCATGTTATCCCATTTATAGCTAAAAGCATTATTCCTCACCTATCAGTGGATCGGATTTGTGTGATCGAGACGCCAAATGGATTAGATTGGATTGGTCCCACCAAAGATTGGATTGAGATTTAGTTCCTAATCTAAACTATCCTTATAACTTTTGGTATTAAAGTTTTCTTTTCAGAAATATTAATGATAGATAATTAACTTATAGGTTATTGACGATGACATATCTGACTATTGAGATTCAAAATCACATCTTATAAATATTATATATTAAAAATTTGATATGTCCGACTCAAATTGAGTGTTTGGATTTTCATTCTACATATTTCTTTAAAAATCTGATTTATTTGGTATCTCAATAGCAAATTCATGGATCAAAATCTCACCTTTATCTTTCATCATTTTAATAAAAAATAAACGGTAAAAATCACCAAAATTAAATCTCATGTTCACTAATCGATTAGATAATTTAACACGTAAGCAATTCGAGAATTATGTCATATCTTGCTAAACATCTCATCAACCAAATGACTATTCTAATATTGGATACACTCGTAATATATTCTTTATACGATTATTTGTCAAATCTCGTCTCCTCGATATCAAATAATAAGTGAGTTCGAACTCGGGTTATCGATGTGTCAGATAATTAACATATCAATACCACTTATCATAGAACTAGAAAAATATTAATCAAATAAAGTTATTATAGAAAAATTCTTGGTATGATGTACTCTTATCTTAGAAAAAATTTATCTGAAGATTTAGTCCACAACTAACTGATTGCCAAAACGGAATTCTTAATAATAACAATAATAAATAAGTAAATAAAGTAATAATAACAATAAAAGGACAAAATTAATGGCGCTTCGTGGATCATTCGTTCCACAAGAGGTTAACTAAAAAGGGAAACCGTCGACTTGCTTGGCTTCTGTGATGCGAACAAAGCAAGATTAACTGTGTGTTTGTGTGTTGCCATCACGCACCGAGGAAGCATACTAATTTACTTTCCATCTATTCTTAAATTGCTGGCATAATTTCTTTATTACTAATTTTTAGAATCTAAATTATAAATGTTATGGTCCCAATGGGTTAATTGGTACTTTATTTGATTTAAATTATTAATTAAAATATTTAAGATAATAATAGTGTTATTCGTATCTTTATAAGTCAGTCTTAATCTTGTTTATTTCCGACGTGAGATTAATAGAAATATTATAATAAATATATATATTTTGAATTCTATAGTTATAACTCAATATTATTTAAATTTAATAAAAAAATAAAATTAATGAGGGTGATATTACTCTCTTATACCAGCCTCACTAACATGAAAAAGAACATTACTTGTTTATGACTACATTGCTTTCTGAACTCAGACTCACTCATATACTTTTTTATTATCTTATTTTTATTATTTTATTTTTTTTAATAAAAATATTATATATAAAATATAAAAATTATTTAAATATTTAATATAAAAAGAATAAATTTGGGAAAAATATAAGTTTAATAGTAATTAAAGTGAGAGAAAAAAAAAACAAATGGATAATTGTGGAGGCTCATTCATTCAACAGGAGGAGGAAAAGGGCGAGAAAGAGAGCAGCTGCCTTTTTCTCCTTACCCAACTCAACCATCAACACAACTGTCTCTCACCCTCTCTTCCACCGTCCTCCCTCTCTCTTTGCGTCCGTAGCTCACGACTCCCTTTCTCTCTCTCTCTCTGGGCTAAGATTGCTACTCAGAGCGTTCTTTCCCTTTGCGAGGCGATGGCGGCGGTGGCCACTCCGTCGTCGGGTCTCCGGCGGATTCAGTTCTTGCGCGTCCAAGATCGACGCAAACCCCTGAAAAGACTCGCCTCCGCCGCTACGTGAGTAGATTCCTTCTTCCATCTCTCAAGAGTATAGACCTAAAACCACGACCTTTCCTGCTCTGTCTGCGCTCTTCTTGGAACTAAGGAACAGAATTGGGTTCGCCTCTTTTCACATTTCTTTTTGGAGTTAAAATCGATTTTCTCGTAAAAGTGGGATCTTCTTATCAGTTTCTTTAAAAAAGAGAGTTTATGTTTCTTTCTGGGGGGTTAATTTTCGAGTTGAATTTGTAGGAAAGATGGGTCGGCGACATCCTCGGAGGCCGAAGAGGATAAAGGCGTTTCCGTTGAGCTTCGTCCGGCCCCAAGATTCCCTCAGCTTGAGACATCTTCCAGTCAGCCTAACCTGGCGCCGAGAATTCCTCGAATCGAGGCCTCTTCCAATGGATCAAACCTTCGGTTCGACCGTCTGCAGCCTTCGGATGAAGAATTCTCTTGCGAGCACAGACGGGCCTTTGGGCGTTTTGTTGCACGGGAGGCCCTTCTTGATGAAGAACTTTGGGTAATCTCAAGCTTTGGTTGTAGGATAGATTGGAACTCTTTTGCTTTCTTGAAATCATCACCATCATCATTATTACTACTTTTGGTACTTCTTCACGATAGACGGCGGCATGGCTAAGGGCAGAGAGTCAATGGGAGGATCGCTCAGATGTTCGGTTAGCAAATCCACATCCAATATTAACTTCCTTCTTTCTCTTCTTTTCCTTTTTTGAGGAAAAGAATGGGAGAATGCGATTGATATCACTAATTTTGGATATTTCAATGTGTTAATGTAGCTACGTTGAGACTTACAAACGCCAATTTGCTGATCAGGTATGAAATATTTTACCATGGATGTATGTGACATCTTTGTAAACTGTTGCAGATTACCTTTGCAGTGAAAAGATAGAACTATTTTAAACATACAAAAATTAAGGAAAGTTGTAACAGAGAATCTAAGTTTAGGATGGTTATAAAGAGGTAGTACAATGCGGCTCTGAATGAAGAAGCTTGATGCATCCACTGTGGCTAAAAATTCCTGAAATGTGATCTCGATTGATGTACATGTCTTGCCTTGTATTAAAAGAAATCCATTCTTAGCATGTATAAATCTTGCCATAATTGAATCTTAGAAAAGTTTGGTACTAAAAGCAACAAATGTTACATATAGAAACAAATAAATGAGCCTTATTGTTACTAAAATTCACTCGAAGTGGTCTCGTTGACTTTTAGGTAATTTCTTGTTGCCTTTCCTAATGATTGTTGATTATTTTGTCAAGTCTTGATTCCAAGAAACAGACCAATAAAACCTTTTTGTACAATGTGTCATATACGAAGAGGCACATGAATCTTGAGATGAAACCAACAACATGCTTTTGGGAACAAGGCTTGTGTGTTTTCTTTTCGGTCATTTAGACAAAAAAAAAAAGGTACCATATCGAGTGATTATCTTTTCTTTGTGGATCATGGTTGTTGATGGCCAACATGTTTGGGAAAGCTAATTACGAAGCAAATTAGCATGCCAGTTTTGGACTGGTGAATCAGGATTACCATATTTGGGTTGGCTCAACCCCTGATGCATGTTTGAATTTTTGAGCTTGATGGTTTTGGGATTTTTTTGCAATCGTTTTCACTAATTCTTAATAAGCTCATTTTTCTGGTAAATTAGCAAAAAAAAAAAAGGATGTTTTGAGTATCACAGAGAAATTATGAAGTTAAGGTGTTTTGTATTAAGAAGGGAGCAAAAGAAGACTAGTGGACACATAGGAAAAGGAAATATCAATATTTACACTTCCACCTGTTGTCCAAGATTGGACTTGTTACTAGAAGAACATTAATGAAATTATTTATCTTTGATATTGAATGAACAAAACACATTTTTAGAAAAACAATAAAGCCCATTTTAACGTTTTGTGATGGAGTGGAGTTGCTTTTGGAAAAAAGAAAGTCTTATTATGTAACAAGTTCATAACCTATAAGTTAATTAGTAATGAGGTACCTGACATAATGATATATCCAAAGCTTGACTAACATGGATAGTTATGAGCATATGCACATATATGAATTTAGGTACTAGGTTATCAAGTTCCTTCAACAAGTTAACCAAACTTTCCATACATAGATATATTTCCTTGAATGACTTGAGGCTTTCGACATACCATGTGATATGTTTTGTTATTTATAATCTTTATGTTGCTGTATAATAAAGTGAATGTGCAACCTCATATGCAATCTGATGCAGGAATTTAATGCTTTAAAGAAGAGATGCAGTAGGCAGCATGCGGAGAAGTGTGTCTGCATTGTTGCGGTATATGCAAAATTTATGTAGTACTTGCTGTTTGATTTGCAGGCATTATGTCTTGTTACGGTTTAGTTTACGGCTATGATCAACTTATATGACTTGTATCACAAGAAATTTTATGTTGGTTTCTGAGGTACTTTGTTTCATTAGTTGAATGTATGAATTCTCGGTGAAAGAGAATGAACTAGCTAAGTAGCAATAATGTGAAAGGAAACTGAACTTCTTCTTTATAGGAAGTTGTCTGTATTATTGATCATACAACAATGCTAAATGATGAAACGGCCGATCTAGTTGATCTAATAATTAATCTCTCCTTCAAAATTTTCCTGAGATGAAAATTTTCAACATTCACAACATGTGAAGACCTTATAATGAGAATAAAAATTCCAGTTCTACCTTGACAAGTACTGATCTATAGATTATGAAGCTATTTAATCATCATTCCTATAGAGAAGCTTATTTTCTTCTTTGACAAGATAATTTTGTAATGAAGAGCAAACAATGAAGTTGGAGGATGGTGCCATGAACTAAAGTATGAGATCTCTGTGCATTAATTTCATTGGTGCATGCTATTGTTCATAATACAGATTTTTATCTATGCATGAAGATGATAAGCAAAAGAAACCACCGGACATCCATGATGTAAATTTACTACAATATGCAGATAAAGATTGCATGATGACCCAATATTCTTGGCATATTGGGGAATCAGTTTCTCGATTGTTTCTCACTAGATTTCTTGTTAAGATTGAGATAATATGGCTAATTTGAAGTTCTGTTGCTGATATTTCTAACTTTGATAACTAAGATGAGGATCCTTTTATAGTTAGGACTTTAGGAAAGAAAGAACCTTAATGTGTTGGAAGCGGTCCTTAATTCTGGAATTTATGCCATTTTTTGGAATTATTTGTTTCTGTCATCTGGTATTCAGGAAAATTTTTAGGAGACTATTATCTTTTGCAAATGGCTTCAGCCAACTTCATGTAAGAAATGGTGATATGCACGCCAACGTCAGCGCAGCTACCATGATTGTAGCTGTCCTACTGGTATCAAAATCATTAGTTGGATCACTGCCATGCAAGGAGATCCGCATCCATGTTGTCTTATGTAGGATCCTTCTTTGTTCATCATAGGAGGGCCACTGGAATAATTCTAGCAAATTCTGAGCTAGACATTACTCCGCACAAAACTATTCCTGATCCACATAATAAAAATTGACTATTCTCATGAAAACTGATGAGCTTCTCCTTGGGCAGAGAATTACTTGAAATTATTAAATCTGCAAAAACTTTTAATCGATATACAGGAGATATGTGTTATATAGTTTTTGGACTTATCCTGTTCCTGTCATCTAATATTCAGGAATTTTTTTGAGAGACTATATTACCTTTTACAAATGACTTTGTCAACTTCTACGGGTGTTTTGTTAGAAATGGCTTTTGCAAATGATCGCATCTTCAAATTTGTTTTGTTTTTGTGTTTAAAATTTTCAGATAAGGAAGGATGAGAAAAATGTCAAGCGGACTGTGTTGAAGAGCATAGTTGGGACCTTGGATTTGAGCGTACGACAGCTTCTTTGTGGAGAGACATTTCCTGGAGTATGCAACATGTTCAATCCCTTTTTTCATCAGTTTTTTTTTTTCATTTCTCTCCAAAAACTCAAGAATTAAATTTTAATCAGGAGTGCTTGAAGCCACCAGCTTCCTCCAATTTCTACCGAGCAGATCAACCAAGATATGCATATGTCGCAAACTTATGTGTTGCCAAGCATGCTCGTCGACAAGGCATTGCGACAAACATGTTATTATTAGCTATTGATGCAGCCGTTTCATATGGTAAAACACAACCTTCTATTCAGTGTTTTTATGCCAAAAGGTGTGTTTAGTCCTTGTGAAACTGTTGTCATGGTTGAAGAAGGATGCTTATACATGACAGGCCAGTCTTCATGTTTATAGTGTGCTTGCTTACCCGAGCTTTGCTGTGTTAGGTACCCACAGGATATTTGTACATGTGCACAAGAACAACACGGGGGCTCAGAAACTCTATGATCGAATAGGATTTCAGGTATCTTATCCTAATTCTAACTGCTAAGATAGCTTGAATCATCTCCTGACTTAACATTACTGTACGCCACCGCAGATGGTCAAAAAGGCTGTTCCTCATTTACTGGCAGACGACAAGCACTTACTGTGCTTGAAGGTTAAATCTGATTCCAGCAGTTGACTTCCTATGTTCTTATAAGCCAGCTTCAACACAAGCTGTGAATCTTTTGTATTCATGGAATCAAGTATAGTTTGACAGAAAAAATACTGCTACTTGTTGTATTTTGTCTACACATAGTGGCATCCTTTGTTTTCATGGAATCAAGTTTTGCCTTCTTTTTTCATCTGAGTGAATCCTGCATTTTGGAACTTGAGCTCTCTGAATGAATCAGTATATATCGTAACAATGCAACATATAAGAGCACAAACATGACGGAGAAAACCAATATATATATATATATATATATATATATATATATATATATATATATATAGGACACTATGTAGAAACGCAATGCTGGAACTTTGCATTTGGTGGCCACCCCATAGTGATCAACCAAACCAAAGGCTCGATTGCATCAAACACAATCTACAATACGTTAAGCCTCTCTTCCTCATCCCTCGAAGTCGTTCTTCGCCCACCGCCCTTCCTTGCTCCTCCTCGTCTTCTCCTCCAACTCCCTCGCCACGGCCTCCGCGTTGGCGATGGCCTCCTCCTGCACGCGAGCCATCCTCCGGCTGCTCTTCCTTGCCGACGCCTCCCTCTCGGCCTCCACCTCCTCGTACTGCCGCAGCCACCACCGCTGCACCGCGCAGGCCGAGACTAGCGCCAGCGACTGCACCAGGAACATCCCAAGCAGCAGAGCCTCCTCCACCTTCATCAGCACCCTCTGCTCCTTCCCGCTCCTGTCTGATCCCAACAGCCGCAGGCTGGGCTCGGGCCGGAGGAAGAGGGCGAGGAAGCTGAGAGCCTGACCGACAGAGGAAGCGAGGATGAAGGAGACGTGGGTGACGAAGCAGAGGCAGGTCAGCTGGGAGAAGAAGCCCAGCAGGGAGGAGAGGACGGTGGCGGAGGAGACCGTGAAGAGGGCCCAGCCGGAGGAGGTTGGGGAAGTCCTGAGCAGGAAGACGGGAGCGAAGGACGCGGAGGCGAGGACGAGGAGGAGGAGGTTCAGGGAGGAGAGGAGGAGGTTCGGGAGCGAGGAGGAGCTCCTAAGCTTCATGTCACAAACCATTTCTCTCCACCCCTGTGCTGCTTTCTTCTTCTTCTTCTCGATGCATTGAGGGGATTTGGAAGTGGCAATTTATCAGTTAGTTTGCGAACGTTGGAGCGTCAGCTTAACGGCTAGGTTTTATTTGTCTTTTGTTGTCTCCTTTTTGCCTTGTTAGAGCAGCGGAAGTTTAAACAAAGATGAGCGGGAATCATAGTTCAAATAACTAAGACGAGCTTACTAAGAGTACAAACACAGAGCTCCTTCCGAATCATATACAGGTTTTGCTACTTTGTTGGGCCAACAAATACCAATTGATACATGCCAATCCAACTTATATTTGAAATCTTGCTAGGTAAATATTATAAGGCAAAGCCTAATGTTTTGTATCCTCAAACCAACTCTCCTACTCTCTCATAGAGCAGACACACGAGGTTCATAGGTCATCAGGATGACCATGTTATCTTTGGGAGAGAACTTTGAATCTGTACCTGGGCTGCATGGTGGAACTCATCTTCTTGGAAGAGACAAGGAACAAAGAGCCTCTCATCTTACAGTCCCCTTCCCGATGGTAGTGGATCCCCCTCCCACCATTATCATGCACAACTTCTAGAGCACCATAAATATTTGTCAGCAATTTGTGAAGCAGAGAACACAATCCTGAAAACTTGATCAGCATCAACCATCAAGAGTGACCCACAAGCTAATTGAAACAACATCCATCTGTACCTAGACGTATTCAGACATAGGTACAAACACACATCTACATAATAATTGTTCATCGAAGCACGAATTTATTAGCCACCTACAAATACCAGAACAATGTAGCATATACCTTTTTTCTCTATTTCCTCAGGGCCCCATGAAAAGCATATCTACCTGCCATATACTCTGTCGGCACAATAGTTTATCCCTGCCAAATCAAGATATTAGTCTACGGCAAAGAGAGTAAGTTCCGCAATCCAGTGACACAATCAAACACCAAAATACTAAAGGCATACATTATCATCTCCTGCCAATTCTTTGAAATCATGCAGACTCAAAGTTACCATTTATCATAGCAGAATAGCCCCAGCTGTTCTGGCCAGTCAATCTTCCAGTTTGGATAGCATGTCTTCTACCTTAGTTGCAACTTGCAACCACGAGTAGCAACTTGATATGCATGTATCCAAACAGCTGTGCCAGCAGTTACTCCTTGCAGATTTTGCTTCTACCTGAAGTGTTATTTACAGAAATTTTCAGTTGCAGGCAACCAAATGCCCCCTACATGTGTTCGTAGTTACAAAAGTGCAATGACCGATTGGAATATTTAACGTGTACATATTGCAAATTGCCTCTACATCTAAATTTAACTTTTGATGCATTTGTATGCGAAAGGAAAGTGCTACTCAAACTCAATGTGGCCCATAAATGGATCCCAGATGGAGAATTTAGATCATCAAAAATCTAAATCTCTGCGAAGTTTGAAGTATAGAACACAGTTTTAAGATGCATTTCAGGCAAGCATCTAAATCAACAGCCAAAAATCTCAGATAAACTGCATATCTTAGAATGTAGACCTGAACTGGTAGAGTCAATTGTGACACTATTAATCATAGCAGGTACAACTAGATCAATCTTTAAAAGTTTGAAACAATATAATAAAAGAATTATAGAGTCCGCATCATACTTCCTTCCCTTGTCAACCATTCAAGTCCCAGAAATAGGTCATCAACCATAAGTATATATTTTAACATTTGTTTAGTACATTTCAAAAATTAAGGTTTGACTACTATTTGCAGATTCCCTGGAGTAAGATTTGAAAGTGATAACCAAATTAATACCATAACTACTTGCGTGATTACAGTAAATCAGGTGCTAACATGCTCAGCTCATTCGAGATGATAAAAATATAGAAGCCTATTTTACAAAAGGAAAACTACACAAAGAAAGGGTCATATCATCCTGAGCATGCATGCTGAGCTCACTGCTACATGATTAGGGGTTTAGACAATGCAAGTGAAAGTGGAAAGCAGAAGCCACTGGAAGTTTCAATATATAATAGGTATGAAGTTGGACTAGTGCACTATTTTAACAAAGATACTCTATTGATAAGGGCAGGTCACTTGCAATCAACTTCAGATGACAAAGGAGTAAATTATAATAGTAATAGGTAAAAGAAAACTAAGCCAAAGGCCCATCAGATTTGGTGAATATATATAAACTTATTAGTATATTTGTCTAGAAATGCTTCACAATTATATAGAAATTAAGAAAGAAATACATAACTTTCCTATCCACAACAAAAGAGAATGATTGAGAAAATGGTCGAAAAGGTTCAAGTACTTGCTACATTTTCTTCTATACCCAATTAATTATCCAGTCTTTTTTATGATTTTAAATAAAAGATTGAATGTTTCTAGTACCTAATCAAGTAATTTGTTTTCTTGCAGATAATACTGTCAAATGAACAATAAGGCAACTGGCATCCTAAACAGGAAAGATGAGAGAGTGGCAAATTGTATTTTTCTATATTTATAAGGTTTTCTTAGAGGCATATCCTGATGATCTCTGCTCACCTAATAGCCATTAGTTATTTTCTTGTTTAGATAATTAGGAATAGGTTAAAGCTTCCCTTGTCTGTCATGCATTTCCTAACCTTCTCTAACATCACTGAGAAAAACAATGATAACTATTTTAGCTCTAGCTTGCTACAATGCCAAACTAAAAATTAAAAAAAAAACACACGCACACGCACACAAAGAGATATGCCTCTAAAGCTTCTTGAGAAATGGTATTATTGAGTTGTCTGTATGTTTAAAAAACAAAAGAAAAGGAGTTCCTTATGTTCGACTGCAAGCTATTGGCTATAACCATCCTTGTTTTCTGATGAAACCAATGCATTAAAAGCAATTTGGACTGCCACACATTATGATCTTTCATACTTGAGCCATCTCTTCATCCAAGACCATCTATTTGACCATTGAGATTTAAGATTGGCTTCATAAAGATTATTGGAAGAACTTTCTTTCATATCAAATCTAAGTGTCTTTGGTTAGAAATCAGCCTTGTTCATGAAACAACAATTTGAGACGATTAGCAGACATCTTTTTTCTATGTCAATTTACAGTGTGGTCATCCAAGAAATTGCAGTTCAATTTGTCTGCCCAGTAATTCAACCTAGATATTGACTAAACACTACAAATATGATCAACCTAACCAATAAGCAGAGAGAAACTGATAAACTTGTTTCTCAAATTTATGCTTTGAATCATCACTCATGTCAAGCACGGACATGAAATTCCTGTTTACTCTATATAACATGTTGGGCTACTCGTTTTCTACCTTAGCCAGCATCTTGTTTGTTACCCTTGGTTAAGTTTATAGAACAAGAAAGCACAAGATTACAAACAATAGAATATAATGGAACATAACATTATAGATAAAACTATCAAGAATAAACTAATTGAGAAGCTGAGTATAAAGCCATGCAAAATAGTAAAGGAACATTATGGGAAACGGCTAGGTCTTCATGAGACATGTTAGCATGAAGCAATTGTAAGAATAATTGGAGACACTAAAAAATAAGTGGATTCATAGAACAACAGAAAGTCCTCAATAATAACAACAATCACAATTCTGCTGCTGTTAATGGCAACAACAATTATATAATAACAATAGTACTACTAAGTAATTTTGGAATAGGGATCCAATAAACACTCAATAAGGAGGATAATGTAATATGAATATTTGTTGTAGCGCTAAATTATTTTTTAGAGTCTTAGAAATGACTCAGATCTGCAGGTGAATGGCATCTTCTCCCTTTATGATCCACAGATTAAGATGAGCAGTGTCATTTCTTGGGTCAATTCACAAATGTTAATGCATTGCTCATCTAAAAATGCTAAAATTTCTGAAAATATATAAGCTTTACTTCCTTATATGATACCAAAACCTCAGAAGCCATTTAGACCTTTTGCAGACACTAGATGCCAAAAGCCCAAGTAAAAGACAATCAACATATAAAAGTTTAGCCGATTCAAATATAGAAAAGGGACCTTTGCTGTGTCTGTTTAGGATACAGCATTAGGGGTTCACTTGGAGGAATTTCTTCAGCATAATAAGAGCACCCAAACCGTAGTAAAAGCCTATATTACGAGCTCCACTGGAAGTAATTCTGACAAGCCGACAGGGCATACATTCATCGACTTCTTTATTATAGTCAACAGCCATAAGGGCACATACCATCTAAAGACAGACAGCAGATTTGCACCAAGGAAAGCAAGAACATAATGGTCAAGAACTACAATTTTTCCTGCTTCCATGATAAAATTTTGATTCACAAATACTAGAAGGAGCTGTAATGGCAACCAAAACCATACTCAAAGGACTCCTGGATCTAACCATGAGTCCAGCTAGTGCAGGGCATCTCCACTCTTGACCAACCAGTAAATGACACATGTTGAACTTCGTTTTTTGTATGCACCAGCCTATATCCAATAGGAAAAGGCCTTCAATATTTAATTGTTGATCCAGACCTAAATCTCATCCTCTGTGCACAAAAATATTATGCTTTCTTTCTCCTGTTGTCATTTGGATCTCAATCATTCACACATATAATACAGATGGGAACAAGTGATGAATTTCCATACAGACTAACAACCAACAGCCATCTCTTTCACACTCTCTAATATAAATGCAGCAAAGTACAAAGCCTGCACTCCAATGACAAACAACATTCACAAACTTAAAATATTTGAATCCACCGCCCTTCCTACCATCTCATCTCCATTTTATAAGCTTCAGTCACAATACAAATCTGATGGACTAACAATGCAGACTCCAAGCATCCATCGCCCTTTCCCACCTCTTGCTTTGGTCAATGCTCAAAACCCCTTCAACTTTGTGCACTTCCATGCCATTGTCTATCCCATCTCTCTCATATCCTTAACCACTCTTATCTTCTCCATCCCATTCTAAAGCCCCCACTTCTTTCTCCAACTTTGTGAAGTCAATATCCAAACTCTTTGCAATCCATCCTACTCTGTTCTGTCTCCTGCAGCTCACTTTCTTCCCCATCTTCCCCACTCTACTATGGTTCTCAACTTCCTCTAGTTTTCCTTGCTTACTCTTTGAAGTCAATGCTTAAAGACCCCAGGTCTCGCTGAGTATTATACCTCTGATCCACCATGACCTTCGAGGGAGGACCAGACCCAAACCTCTCACCCAATCGCCACCACCACCATCATGTTCTGGACTGGTTGGAGGACTCTGTGTCCTTCCTCTCCTCCTTCCTCGATGATTCCTACGCTGGAAACACTGCCGATCAAATCACCAACTATGAATGGTGGACTCAAGAAGAGGACCAGGCCAACATGATACACAATCCTTTGGTCTCCACTCTCGCCACGTCTAATAACTCTCCATTACTTCCTCAAGCTGAAATCTCCAAGAAGAGGAAATTATCGACGAACCCAACCACTCCGAACAAGACCCCAACACACCCAAACCGTCAGAGGATTGCCATCGAAGGTGATGGAGGATTTGAGGAGGAAGGTGAAGCAAACAAGAAGCCAGCGGCGACAGGGAGGAAGGGCCATGGAAAAGGGAACGCGGGAAGCTCAAGCAATGGCGTGAGCAAGGAAGTGAGATGGGCTGAGCAATTGCTGAATCCATGCGCTGCCGCCATCGAAGCAGCAAACATCTCGAGGGTCCGACACTTGTTTTGCGTCCTCCGAGAGCTCCAATCATTCTCCGGCGATGCCAATCACCGGCTCGCGGCCCACGGCCTGCGCGCCCTCTCCAACCATACCTCCGCTGCAGGGATCGCCATCCCCGACCGCGCTGGCACCTCCGCTGCCACCTTCGCCACGACGGAACCGAAGCTCTTCCGATCAGCGATTATCAAGTTCCACGAGGTCAGCCCCTGGTTCGCGTTCCCCAGCGCTCTCGCCAACGCGTCCATCCTCCAAACCATGACACTCGACCCCAGCCGCCACGCTAGGTCTCTCCACGTGGTCGACATCGGGGTTTCCCACGGCGTCCAGTGGCCAACGCTCCTCGACGCGCTGGCTCGCAACCCCGGCGGCGCGCCGAAACTCGTCCGCCTCGCTGTCGCCGGCGGGGCGGCGCCTCCCGGACCATTCTCCGTGGCGCCGCCAGGGTACGACTTCCAGTCCCACCTCCTCCGCTACGCCAGATCGATCGATCTCAACCTACGGATCGACCACACCGAAGATCTCGGCGCGGGGTCCGTGGCTCTCACCGTCGGCGAGACCCTAGTCGTCTGCGTCCAATTCCGGGCGGGCCATGGCAGCGCCGACGATCGCACAGCGTTCCTCCGATCGATACGGGAATTAGAACCCGACCTCGTGGTCCTGAGCGAGATCGACGGCGGCGGCGGCGAAGTAGGGTTCCCGGCTGGGTTCGCGAGGAACGCGGAGCTGCTGTGGAGGTTCCTTGACTCGACGAGCGCGGCGTTCAAGGGGAGGGAGAGCGCTGAGAGGCGGGTGATGGAGGGGGAGGCAGCGAGGTTTCTGGAGACGACGGCTGAGGCGGCGGCGGCCGAAGGGCGAGATCTGTGGCGGGAGAGGATGGCTGCGGTGGGGTTCCGAGAGGAGGCATTCGGGGAGGAGGCGCTGGATGCGGGGAGGGCTCTCCTGCGGAAGTACGACGGGAACTGGGAGATGAGGGCGGCGCCGGCGGAGGCGGCGGTGGGGCTGTGGTGGAAGGGGCACCCGGTGTCCTTCTGTTCCCTGTGGAAGCCTCACAGGAGAAACTAAAAAATTAGCGCTGTGATGAACAATCGATCGGATCGTGACCGTCCGACTGGTGATCTCTTAGCACGGAAAATGGAGCGCGTTGTTTCGACGCTGGAGGTCAGATGAAGCCATAGAAGCTGTCCCAAAAATACAAATGTGGCTCGATGTACATAATGTGGCTCAGACCATGTGCCGTAGTTCTCCATGTTCAATTAGGCTCGATGTTATATTTAGGGATCCATCTTTAGTTCAAATAACTATCGAATTCGAATCAGCTTAGCCTACTGAGACTACCCCTCCTAACCGTGGCATCGCTATTGTGCAGCTTATTTCTAAGGCCATGATTAATGCATAGCTCGCCACATGACTTTAATATCGACGATTGATGTTAGAATAACGACTTTTAGGAGCTTAGGTCATGCACTTAATTTTACCCAATTGATTGCTAAAAATTCGTAATGCAATCCATCATCAATCCGAGTAATATCGTGTCCAAAATCTTTATTGGACCACATATTTTATAGCCTGGTGAGGAACTATAGAGAATTGAATTGTGACAAGAGGAATCGAATGTATAATTATGGTTGTATAATTTATTCGATTGTTGGATTGAGAAAACATGGATTTATTTCTTATTTCATCCGTTAAAAATCAAAATATCTCAGTTTTATCTATTATTAGGAGCTAAAGTGTCATTATATATTACCAAGCTAATGATCTCGTATTACTAAGGTATCGATAAAACAACGATAGCCAATCAAATCAGTCTCCCATAACATATCCAAAATGAGAATTTATATTACATTTATAATGTAGCATTACATTGTTTTAGAGCGTCGAACTCCATCATCAAGACAAAAAGCTTACCAGAAATAAAGATGAGAAGACTTATGCGAGGAAGTGTTCCAAAATATCCGACCCATAAGCATGTCGGACTCGGATCTGGATGGATCTGACCTCAATTCCACCCGATACCACGTAAGTCAAATTCTACCCGGTATCAAGCTTGGCTGACCACATTACAGCCATAGCCTAGGATGAATCAACGATCAAGGATTAAGCTTGTCGGAGCTTCACAGCCGTCCGATCTCATGGTTCTCTTCGCAACGACGTACCAAAACCTTCGCCCCGCTTCTCGCACGCAAAGTTCGCGACAAATCCACCGTTCGCCGACGCCGCTTCCGCCGCCATGTCCGCTTCTGCTGTCATCCGGGACTTCGACGACTTCGTCAAGGTCCACGGGATTCTACTCGCTGCCTCCGGCGTCCCACTGCCGCTCTACCGCCAGCTCTTCCGCAAGCTCTCCAGCGAAACCTTCGACGGCGGCGACTTCTTCTCCATCGAGCCATGTGAGGGAGGCCGCCAGCGCCGCCTCCTCCTCTCGGCTGACTTCCTCGGGAAGGAGTCGAACGTTTTCCTTGTCGATCACGCATGGTCATTTCGCCTTTCCGACGCTCTCCAACAGGTGAGAGCTCGAGCAATGAAATGAACCATATCTAACGTTAGGTTTAGGGTAAATTCGGCATTGGAGCATCCTTTTGATGGTCTTTTTGCTTCTTTGATCGATTAATTGGATAAAAAATTGAATCTTGGATGGTTTTTACAGCTGAGGGAGGTTCCCGGATTAGCTGAGAGAATGGCAACGTTGATGTGCGTCGATCTTGATCTGAAATCCAACGATGAAAATCCGGAGTCAGAAACCCAAGAGGAGGAGAAGAGTGGAAGCCTGGACAATGTGTTGGAAATCTTGTTAAAGGAGATGGACAAAGTGAAGGAGAGAGGAGTGGATGCTGCAACTTGGTTGGAGCTGGAGGAGTTGGGCATCGACGATGAGATGCTGAAGTCTCTAGAATTGTCTACTAAGTTTCCGGTTGGTAGCGCCTCATGAACACTGCCGTCGTCAATGTGCTTATATTTTCTGAGCAAACAACCTAAGAATGATTAAAGAGGCGCTATATCATGCACTATATTGTACTTATCATATTAATTATTTACCTTACAACAGAATCTGGTTGCTCTTAATCTCTGGGGTAACAAACTCGAGGATGCAGAAACAATTATTCAGGAAGTCACAAAATGCAGAAGGTTAAAGGCAATCTGGTTGAATGATAATCGTGCTCTGCAAGATTGGTAAGTTTTGAGTGTCTTTAACTTTTTCTTGCAGCCCTGCATGCTTCAGAACATCAAGCTAGTTGATGTTGTCTCATTTGGCAGATGAGGGTGTCTTTAGCTCTTATTTGCACTTCATCTTTAGTGTGTTGTTGCCTCCTGAGATTCTTCAGTAATATGAGCAGGAGTAGCGCATGTAAGCACATTATCTCATTTGCTTTCCATCTATGATAGTGATGTCCTTCTACTCTACAAAATAAAAGAATTAATGGTTCTATGATTCATTGATAGCGATAAAGCTCTATTTAATAGGAAATATTTTGGAAGTTGATTTTTTCCGATGAAACTGTTCTAGCTCTAGGATTTTTGTTGCCAATTTCTTGCATCAACACCCCTTTTCTTCTAGTAATTGACTGATGTGTATAATGCATTTTCAGTGGTGACAGGATTTCTAAATCAATTCTTGATGGTATTCCTGGACTGGAAATCTACAACTCATGTTTTACTAGCAATTTTGGCGAATGGGCATTAGGCTTTTGTGGCAGCATTTTTGGGGCAGATAATCCAGGTTGTTTGTCAGAGTGTAGTGGTTCATTGGCGAGTATTACCACACTCGATCTTTCAAATAGATGTGTCCGGTGCCTGCCGAAGGTAGGTCAAGGAATAAAATTGGTGCAATTTCTCTTTCTTTTTTTTTTCTTTCTTTTTTGTAGTTTTGTCAATTTGGTCAGATGAATACTAGAAGGATGATGCTTCTAAAGAAGAGATCATCTGGATATGCTAGTTACTCTTGAATTGATTTTCTTATGCTATGGGCAGTTTCTGAGACTATTTAATTCTTTTCAACTGTCCTTTCTATGTCAGATTTTACTCTTGAACGAACTGAAGTTTATTCCTGTGAGATGTAATATCTTTTTAATGTCCTTATTTTTCCAGGCCTTTTCACCAATCACGTTGCCATCTCTTTCCCATTTGAATATCCGAGGAAATCAACTAGACCAGATTTCTGTTAATGATCTTTTACAACTTCTAAAGAGTTTTACTTTGCAAACTTTGGAGGTAATTTCCATAAAACTAGTTTCTAAGTTTATGTTGAAAGCTGCATACTTTGGAACACTTTCATATGCTACCTTGCAGGTTGATATACCTGGTCCTCTTGGAAACAGTGCGCTACAAATTCTGGAATATCTTCCGAACCTGTCTTTTCTAAATGGTGTTAGTGCATCAGTTATAACTGAAACTGGTAAACATGTTATTGATTCCGCACTCCAACCGCGTTTACCAGAATGGGCACCTTCAGAAACTCTTCCTGATAGGGTTATTGGGGCAATGTGGTTATATTTGATGACATATAGACTTGCTGATGAAGAAAAGATTGATGAAACACCAGTTTGGTATGCATAATTTTTATGTATTGCTCTGATGTTTTCAGTTTGATCTTATACTTATTGTCAATTTGGTATAGAACTGTCCCTAGATTTTAAAAAAGTATGATTGGAAATGATATCAGTCAATCAAAAAAATGAAATCAAGATCAGATCACTCTTAACTTAATTAAGTTTTTTATAGATCTCAATGACGACAAAAGATTTATATAGTCGACCCCAAACAGATGGGACTTGCAGCTTTTTTGTTGTTGTTGTCGTTGTTGCTTGTGTATCTGATCACATCAGTTTGATTGAATGAAATGGTTCATAATATTTGGTTTTGGCAAACTTTATAGTTGTTTAGTCTGACTTTTCAACTTATTTTAAATTTGTAATTGACATTTTAAATCCTTGATTACTATTATGATATTTTCATGATGTATTTACTCTTAAAATCCTCTGTTACTAATTTTATGTAGATAATGTTTTTATCTTAAATTCACAAATGCACTATTTCGTGATTTTATTTTACTCCACAGTTTATTCTATTTATCTTCTATATTTATCGTATGACTTCTAAAAGCTATTGCATACGAAGGATTTTAATTTCGAATGATACCGTCTGTACCAGGCAGTACGTACCGGTCCGCCCGCATACAGGTACGCGAACCGCCTGCTATCGGGCGGTACTATCGATTGTGGCTGTTTCCGCCTCGTTACCACTTGAAATCGGTCGGTAACGGTTGATTTCGACTGTCGCCGTCCGCTACCGGGCGGTATTAGCCGAGGGAGAAGGAAGAAGAGGGAGAAGAAAAGGGAAAACCTAGAGATCCGGTGCTGCTCTCCCTCGACGATCTTGATTCGTCGCCGCTCTCCCTCGTTGGACGCTACAGATGAGATGTTGCCTCCACGTTTGAGGTGACGAGGCCTCGGCATCGTCTGTGACTTCTCCTCATCCACATGGGGAGAAGCTTGCGAGGAGAAGAAAACGAGGTGGCGCCACCTCGAGGATGTCGCCCTTTTTTCATTTTTTAAACTTTATTATTATTGTTATTATTATTATTATTATTATTATTATATATATATATATATATATATATATATATATATATATATATATATATATATATATATATATATATATATATATATGCATGCATACCGAGCAGTATGTGAGAGCGTATCGCTCAGTACACTTATACCGTACTGTATCGTACCGAGCTGAGCTCAATACTGTAGTACGGTATGAAATTACAAACCTTGTTTCATACAATTTTTTACTACATATTTGTTATTTTCTGTTCCTGTTATTCTACTATTTAATTTGTAGATTATCTTGCAGAATGTGTTGTGCTCTTGCTAGCTCATAAAAAATTATACCAATCTTTTGACGTGTTTCAGCTCCAGGATGTTTAATCCTGATTCTATGGTTGGGTTATTTTTTAAAACATGAATTGTATCTGCAGTTAGAAAAATACGTTTTGCATATCTTAGTAATCTAACTATTTTGCTTAGATGTCTTACAATAGTCATGGTACAACCTCCAATATTTCTTAGCTCCCTTTTTTGTAGGCATCTCATAGTCTGCATGGTGTTTACGCCAATAGCATCCAACTATCCATGATAACTCATACACTCTTTCCTCACCCACTTATTGGTCCCTGTTCTATAAGATCCCTGCTCCATTCAACCAAATATTCACTAATCCATTCCTGTAGATGTCTATCCTGTTCATTCTGCCTTATTTCCTCCACAGTTCTAAATTCAAAATTATGATCAGGATCAGCTGCTGGACTTTGGATTTGAATTGAAGTGTTCTGAAAGAATTGACATCTCTGAGAAAACATTTTCTTCAACTTCCTTCCAATTTTACTCTTCTTTGGTCTATCCTCCTTGTTGGCAGTTGACAGGATCTTAAGGATTAGAGGGGAGATGGGCTTCCTTCTGTTCATTGCACTGATGACACTCTTCAATGTTGTCATGAACCTCAAAGGATGGAAACTAAGGCATCTTCCATGTCTACATTAGGTGCCCAAAGAAGAAATGCCAACTGAATCCCTTTGAATTGGTGCAAAACTTAGATTGGATTGGTTGAACATGTTTTCCATTTTAAGCAACTGATTTTGTTTCTCCTTTCTTTGGCAGCATATTGGTACTTTCATTGGTAGTAGCATGTATGTGCAAGTGTTTATTACGGATTAATTGTTACCTTGATAGATGTTAATAGTTCCCTTAAATATTTAGGTATGTCATGGATGAGTTGGGTTCTGCTTTACGTCACAGTGATGATGCGAATTTCAGGGTGGCTCCTTTTCTTTTTATGCCTGATGGGAAACTGGCATCAGCTGTAAGGTAATTGATTTTGAATATTTAATTTTCTTCTGTTTGTGTTCCTTATGTTGCTTTGCATGTTCTTATGCTACGAGATAGAGGGTGGCAAGGATTCTGATATGTATATGCAACTATTCCACATATGTTTCTGTTCCTATATGGGTTTTTAAACATGCTTTTAATCTTATATCATAAAGATGTGTTCTAATATTTTTACTTTTGAATATTTAATATGCTTCTGTTTGTGTTCCTTTAGTTGCTTTGCATGTTCTTCTGCTCTAAGGTTGAGGGTGACAAGTATTTTTGGATATACATGTTCAACTTTTCCATATATGTCCCTGTCCTCGTATGGTATTTTACTTTGCTATTAATCTTATTATTATGGAGATGGATTGTACTATATTGATGGATCATTTTATCTCATTTCTAAGATGTTCTTGTTCTATTCAATAACTTTACGAGCAACATTCGCCAAAGATATTTTCATGGTTCATGCAGACAAGTGGTTATGATGGTTCACTTCTTAAAAAGGTTATTCTGTATAAGATGACTTCCTTATTGACAACTTAAAAAAGAAAATAAAAAAAGAAAGACAAGATATCCTCATATACCAATTCAATAATAGAAAAGGAGTGCTATGTTGCTTTGCAAGATTGAATGACAGCTATAAGAGTTGTTTTTCATATAACAGCAAGATGATGAGACATGAGGCAGTTTGGATTGTTTTCTTATTCTAGTAAATGCATAAATGTAGCAATATTTTGTTGTCACCTTGTATTTCTATAATTATTTTTTGAGACAAGATTTTGTACTAATTGGGTAATATACAGAGTAGTGTACTGGAATTTAAGTCCTTCCTCACTCAAGAAAAAAGAGGCAAAAAGGATTGACATGAAATGCGGCTCATTTGGTTTTAAGTTGGGCTTGTTGCTTCCTGTTATAGATGTTGGCAACACTTGAAAACCTGTTAACACTCAAGGAAAGTTATTTTCAGTTTTTCAGTGCTGTGGCCAATTCAGGATGTCCATCATGGGGAAGAATGTACTCGTGATTTCTTGTTTGGTGTCGGAGAGGATAAACAACGCTCCGCAAGGCTTACAGCTTGGTTTGATACACCAGAAAATTATTTTATTCAGGTATTTTATTTCTTCTTTGCTAATGCAAAAACTATTCGGACACGGCTTATCACTTCAATTTCCTCCATAGGAATTCAAAAAATACCAGCAGCAGCTTGCATCAAGAAGTCTTCCTGCTCCTAAAGAGGCCCCTATATCTAGAAGTATTCTTCAACATGATGGGCATACGCTCCAAGTCTATACTGATATACCACACGTAGAAGAGTTTTTGACGCACCCTAAATTTGTTCTTAGTAAGTATGTGTGCAATTATCTCTCTATACTTCTGCTTCTCTGTAGTCTGCAGGACTTTCTCTGTATTTTTCTTATGGAGATGTTGTTGATGAATTAATAGATTGAATGACTCTAATCATGCTATTTGCGTCCTTTGGAAATTATAATCTTTTGTAATATTATATCAACTAGCTTGAAATGGGATCTGGAATTGTAATTGCTTCTGGTTTATAAAGAGCTTCCCTTAGCTGCACTAGGATTTGGAGCAATCCAGACAAAGTCCTATCCTTTATCTAACACAATCTTTTCCTTTGCCCTTTATGAGACCTGATTTCACATCCAAACACCTTTGGTGAAAGGTCATAGGTAAAAATGTTGATCTTTGTACTCGTTCCTCCAAAGTTGTCATACTGGCAATGCAATTGCGTGTAGAACATCCAGCATGCAAGACTCTGTTCTTGTTGTGGCGTTCATAGATTCATCTTACATATTTATTTTTAGCTTAAAGTGTATTTTATCTTCAGTAACAAATCCAAAGGATGCTGATATTATCTGGACAAGCATGCAAGTGGATCCAGAAGTGAAGAAAGCCCTTGAACTTACTGATCTTCATTACACAAACCAATTCCCTTTCGAAGCTTGCCTTGTCATGAAACATCATTTGGCAGAGACAATCCTTAAGGTATGCAAACTCTTCCTTCAGAGCTTATGCATCTTCTAGTATTTTATATACCATATCCTCGAGGCTGCCTATCTAATGACCATCTCATTGTTTCTTGATTCAATGCTAAATTGCACTGGTTGCAATGAAGTTGTATTCCAATGCATATGTTAACCCAAACAAAAAGATTGTCAATTTTGCTCACAGAATTTTGTGTGAATTTGTTCTCACTCACCGTCCATGTACACAGGCACAGGGGAGACCTGAATGGCTTCAGCCTACTTATAACTTAGAAACACAGTTATCTCAACTCATTGGTGACTATTTTGTCCGGAAACAAGATGCACTTAACAATTTATGGATTCTGAAACCATGGAACATGGCAAGAACAATCGACACAACAGTTACTGAAGATTTATCTGCAATCATCAGACTTATGGAGACTGGTCCTAAGATATGCCAAAAGTATATTGAGCACCCTGCATTATTCAAAGGGAGGAAGTTTGATCTTCGCTACATCGTATTGGTTCGCAGTATGGATCCTGTACAGATATTTCTTTTTGATGTGTTTTGGGTACGCTGTGAATTCCCTTGGCTATTTATTAGAGCAATGATCCCATAGTTGTTCTTGATATCTTCCAGCTTCTGATAAATTCAGCCTTTCACAGATATAACAATTTATTGATTCTTTCAGGTCAGGCTAGCAAACAATCCATACACTCTGGAGAAGAGCAGCCTTTTTGAGTATGAAACTCACTTCACTGTGATGGTAATTTTACTCTCCTTCTCTTTGTAAAGGCACTGTCACAATCTTGTGATAGCCAAATACAACCCCAATCAACTAGAGAAATTTATCAATTCATGTCGTGAAGTTTACTCTTTCGAAGCATTTCTTTTTGTAGTGGATTTTGTCATATAATTGATGAATCTGTTGCAAATGAAGACTTTGAGACCATTGATGATACTTTACATTGTGCATCTTCAGAACTACAGGGGAAGACTGAATCACATGAATACACCAGAATTTGTCAGGGAGTTTGAAGAGGAACATCAAGGTTGATTGTTATTCTTTTTTCTATTGCAATCTCTACATTACACTTTAAGATTAAGCGCTAATATAATGTCCCCTCCTGTAGTGAACTGGCAAACAATCCATCAAGGAATCCAAGATATGATCCGATCTGTGTTTGACTCGGCTGCAGCGGTTCATCCAGAGATGCATAATCCACAATCGAGGGCCATGTATGGGGTGGATGTCATGCTTGATCATTTATTCAAGCCAAAACTTCTGGAGGTAATCCTATTCATTTAGCTGACATATACACCTGATTGACTCAGCAACAACACTTATCTCGAGATTTAGAACTGTAAACACATTGAATCACTCATCAAAATGCAGGTGACATATTGCCCAGACTGTGGCAGAGCATGCAAGTACGATACCGAAGCTATTGTGGGAAATGGGGGCATCTTCCGAGGACGTGATTTCTTCAATACTGTCTTCGAGTGCCTCTTTCTTGGCGAGACCGCACATGTAACGCCACTCTAACTTTGCCATTTTGTTCACCGGCAAAGGAACCATTTCCAATTGAGTGTCATCAAAGTAAGTGAATGGGTGAATGATGTTACATGAAACTACTTAGTAAAACATGCATTTGGCAGAGCTTAGAATCGAGAATGAAGTTTTCATGTTGTACATGACAGATCATGAATTAGTAACTGCATCCAATCTTAGAAAAACTGTCAACGGTTTCAATCTCCGAAAAAATTTTAATTGTTTCATTTTTTTATTTTTAGAATGAGATATTTATGTAATTCCCATGAATAGGGTCAAACCTTATTCCTCTTTCTTAGACTTAGGCTTAGTTGATCATAAATCCTTTTTTTTTTCACCTTTTGGTTTATTTTGCGAAAGATATTGTCGTATTCTTTCTTTTCGGATCATATAAAATTGTCTGTCTCTCCCATTGCTGTGATCCAAAAGTTTCATCAAGCTTAATTTCCTATAGATGTTGAAAACATGGAGTGGTAAGTTATGGAAACAACATCAATATCTGCACTACACTTAATTAACACAACCAAAATTAGGATTGGAGAAATACTTAAAGCTAGAGAATATACAGGTGCCAATTACTGTAACTGTAGCATTAGACTATATTCTAGGGTTAATTATAGATTATCTCATATATTTAGATACTAATAACGAATGATTTTTATAGTTATGAAAGTGAAATAATTCATTCCATTTTCTCTAACTGTTGGTGTAAACAACCTCGGGACTGACGCGGCTTGGTTCGGGTTCGGATGACGGGTCGTCGTTTCCTTCAGGAATGGGCTTCTTGCCAACGCGCCCGAAGAGAGGCGCCTCGCCTTCGTCCCTACACGCAGGTCGGGTCGGGATGCTCGACCCGACCCCTCTGATGATTAAGTTAGTCGATGATCGTGGAAGTGTTTTGTTTTTCTTCTCCCCCCTTTTTTCGTTTAGAATGCCAGGGTATTTATAGGGGAGTTCGGTGTTACCTGATGTGCCTGCTCGCAGGGGATAGGATCGTACCTTCTGATGACGTCTGACATCGCTGTTGGCGTGGCGTGTGGAATCGAGCCTGAGCGGTCGTTAATGGGCCTCGGTTGGCGTTGCGACCCGTGTCAGCCACACGCTGTTAGCCCGACAGGAACGCGGAGCGTCAGCGGATGTCACGCAAGTTTTATCGTAATTGTTACCCTCATCACAAACGTCAATGGCTGTCCTGATATGTCCTGATAGAAGATAGCATTTGACATCACATGCTAAATTGATACAAAATCGATTCCAAAAATGAGTTATACGTCACCATAAGAATGTGCCAAATTATAGATCTTATACTTGTTTGCAAAATCAAGCCAAAAATGAATTTGATTTTGTAATTGAATGTAATACCCAAAAAAATTATTCAAGTATTAATTACAGGTAAAAAGTAATTTAGTTATAATATAAATAATAAATTTAAACATTTATCCAATAAGTTACAAATATAACCATTATGAAATTAAAAAATATATAGATGTTTGGTTGGATAATGATTAAGGAAAAATTAAACTCAACATTGATATGTTCAATGAATAGTTTTCTTTGCATAATAAAAATTATTAGCCTTTTAGGTTTTTATTTATAGGATGTTAAGTCTTGTTCTAAACCACAACTAATCATAGTTAAATGGCACATGTGAGGATAATGACGATGATGTATGCGATTACCTAATAAATTATACATTTTAAGTGTCAATCAATGCATAAAATGTTTGAGTTACAACGATTCAATATTTATAAACTGTCATAAATACACTGACACTTGAAATTTATGGAATGAATTTTCAAAGTCATTAACTTACAAGACGGAATATTTTGACAATTAATGTTTGATTTGCATATATATATATATATATATATATATATATATATATATATATATATATATATAATCATGTTATTGTTATAAGATCATTTTATTTTTTTAAAAAAATTTCCAATAATTTTTTTCATAATCTTAAAATATCCCTTAGCCTCAATGGAATAGTTTCGCATATATGAATGGATCCATACAATGCATTGGTGCAAATGGATGGATCAATCCATATCATAACATGATCTAGTCCATATCGTGAGTGAATTTAATAGTATTTATCACATCTCTTTTGGTAAGGCATGGAAGGGGTTATATTTAGTATTTATGACCTTCAACACAAATATTTTTATTGGATTTATCATGTTTATTTTGATTTATCAACATCCAACCCTACCATGAGTTCCATATAAGTGTAATTTTCTTTTTATGATATTTTTGTCATGGTTGTTTTTTTTCTCTTAACAAGATTTTGTATGGAAAAATATATGTTCATATATGCAATGCATATATCTTGAATTAGAATTCGGTAATATTGGAAATATATGCGTTGGAAAGAATAAGAAAAATGAGTTGGTAACCCATTTGTAATGTTTTTGTATAATGTTTTCTGTATATTAACAAAAAAAGAATGACGTTCTAAAACATTATAATTAATTTTTTTATTACTTTTATGTAATATAGCAATATAAATTATGTCCATATTCATTGATAATAATTTATATTATAATTTTTATAATATTTTTTTGTTCAGATAAAATATATTGTGTATGAACGAAAACAACTTTTCCAAAGATCGTAATTGGTCTTTTATCACTAGTCTGTAAATATATGAAAAACATAAGAATATATATATATATATATATATATTGATATATTGATTGATAAAACCCTTGGCCTCTCTCTTCTCCGCCACTACCACCCCCTCTCTCTTTCTCTCTCTCTCTCTCTCTGGTAACTGTTTCTGCCGCAAAACCCAGCAACGAAGTGTATCCCTCTCTCTCCGCCCTCTATTTATAGAGGAGAAGAAGAAGAAACAAACTACTGCTGCAGATCTCTCTATCAAGAACTAACACATCGAACTGCCGATCGGACGTCGGGAGAGGAGGAGGGGCCGCCATGGACGACCTCGAGAAGGCGATCCTCCTCGTATACGAGCCCGGCGCCGCTGACCCGACCTTCCGCGCCCAGGCCATGGCCTTCTGCGACCATGCCAAGGCCGACCTCTCCGCCCTCCTTCGCCTCTGTCTCGACCGCCTCCACCGGTCCTCCCTCGTACCCGTCCACTTTTGGTGCCTCCAGGCCCTCCACGACGCTGTTCGCCTCCGATACTCTTCCATCCCCCCCGCCGACCTCCCCATCCTCCGCTCCGCTCTCCTCTCCCTCGCCTCCGACCGCCCCCTCCCCGCCGCCTCCCCTCCCTTCCTCAGGAACAAGCTCGCCCAGACCCTCGCCGCCCTCATCCGCCTCGAGTACCCTTCGCTGTGGCCCGACCCCTTCCTTCGCATCCTCCCCTGCCTCCCCTCAGCGGACCCATCTTCAATCGACATGTTCGCCCGCCTCCTAATCGCCCTAGACGATGACCTCCTCAGCCTCGACTACCCGCGGTCGTTTGCGGAGGCCGCCGACGCCACGCGGGTTAAGGACGCCATGCGCCAGCAGTGCGTCCCCCAGATCGTCCGCCATTGGTTCGATGTCGTGTCCCTCTACCATTCCTCGGACACTTTCCTCGTCGCCGCAGCCCTTGACACCATGCGGCGGTATGTCACTTGGATTGACATCGCTCTTGTTGCCAATGATGCATTCGTCCCCCTCCTCTTTGAACTCATTCTCGCACCTGACTCGATCGAGCAACTGAGAGCTGCCGCCGTAGGCTGTGTTCTCGCCATCCTCCAGAAGAGGATGGATCCACGCCAGAAGGTCGCACTTCTCCGTAGTCTACCAGTAAGCCTGGTGTTTGCTGACCCGAATTTGGTCATAAAGGTTCCATATTTGGTTACTGGGTATGCTGCCGAGGTTTTAGAATGTTGCAAGAAGTTAGGTTTGACAGATATAGATAGTTCATCTCCGGTGGAACTTCTCGAAGAGGCCTTGCCTTCAGTGTTCTATGTGATGCAAGAAAGCGAGGAAGTTGAATTGGGTAATGTGGTTGAGTTCCTATCGGTTTATGTCACGACCATGAGAACACCCTCGCAGAAACAAGCAGTGTATCTTGGTCATATCTTAGAATTTATTAGAGTGCAGATATGCTATGATCCTGCCTACAGGAATAATCTTGATATCCCAGATAAGATTGGTAGGGAGGAGGAGGACCAGATGGGTGAACGCCGGAAGGACCTTCTTGTGCTCTTCTGTAGCATTTGCCGGCTTGCGCCTGATGTCACACAGCATTTCATCCAAAATTTATTAATTAGGGCCCTGTCCTCTTCGGAAGCTAGCGTGGAGGAGGTAGAAGCCACGTTTACTTTGTTCCACCGGTTAGGCGAGACAGTAAATGAAGAAGCAATGAGAACTGGTAGTGGGTTGTTGCGTGAGCTGGTCCAAATACTCCTTTCGTCACAATTTCCTTGCCTTTCTCATCGAATGGTGGCACTCATTTACCTGGAGACTGTCATGAGGTTTATGAAGTTTGTCCAGGATAATCCTCAGTACATACCTTATGTGCTGGCTGCATTCTTGGATCAGAGAGGTATACACCATCCAAATCTCAATGTGAGCAGACGGGCTGGTTATCTTTTCATGAGAGCTGTCAAGTTAATGAAATCTAAGTTCGTGCCATATTTGGATATGATTCTGAGAGTATGCATCCTTTACCATTTGTTTATGGAATATGCTTATAATTTTTTTCCTTTCCCAAAGTGGTATATCGTATTTGTTCTATCTGGATACAGGGACTGCAGGATACCATCACTCAATTCACAACTTCAGATTGGTGCTCTAAAAATTTTGAGTGCTCAGGTTCTGAAGATGGCAGTCAGATATTTGAGGTATTACTTTGTGATGCAAAATATTTTTGCTCCAACTTCATTGAGTGTATACTGATTATCATTCCTCAATTTGATGGGGGCCCTAGGCAATTGGATTATTGATTGGCATGGAAGATGTATCCCCAGAAAAGCAATCTGACTATGTGGCAGCATTTCTCAGACCTCTTTGTCAAAAGGTAAAGATGGAATTTGAGAGTCTCTCCTTTTTTTCCCATTAATTGCCTTCTCTTCCTCGATTACTGATTCTCATAACTGCTTCAGCATTTATATGGTGAATAATCAGTAAGTTGACTTGTTACTTGTGCTTGTCTAATCAGCTCAATGAGGTGCTTTTGGATTCCAAGGCACAGGGGCTAGAAGAATCTTCAGGAAAAGTTTTAACCCTACAGCAAATTATCATGGCTTTGAATGCTTTAAGCAAGGTGTCTCTTTTTCTATGCTGATATGTTCTCTCTCTGATAAATCAAGAGCCCGTTTGACATAATCCCTACTTTTTGTTGTTTCTAAGAAAAGTAATAAAAATGTCATTTCTGTTCTGTTTTTAGTTATTAATTATCAGAACTTATAGTTGATTGAATTAAAAAAAGGAACACATTGCATCTGATGATCTGGAGGAGAATTGTTATCCAATTATAGTTATGACAGGATCTATTGGGTAATAAGATGGTTTCTTGGTTTATAAAAAAATAGATAATCCTGCTCTTAAAAGTTTTAAAAACAATGGAAGTACCATTAAGAAAAGAAATAAAATAATTCAAGCAGCATTTCTGTAAAACAATAAACTTCTGCCAAATGGGTCTGGAAACTGCCATCTTTTAAAGTATTATTAGTCATTTATGTATATTTGGTGAATGTTCACTATCCAATTCCCTTGACTTATAATTGTACAATGTTCTCGTCTTCTATCTTTTCAATCTTTTGTTCGTCTTGAGAACATCAACTTGTTGTGGAAGTGACTCCCTATCTTTATGTTTGTGTATTGTTTATGGACAGGGATTCAATGCACGACTTGCCACAAGTATCTGTCCGGCCATTGGAATTATGTTTAAGCAGGTCGGTTGAGCTATCTTTCATGGTGATTTATATATGAGATATTCTTTGATTTTGCATGGCTTCCTTCAAGTGCATTTATATAATATAGGACAGTTTCCTTTAGATGGCAAGCTTTTATGTGATTGAAGGTAGATGAATAGTTTATATTTTTGTGTTTTATGTACACATATAAGAGTTCTCTTGTTTTTTGTGTTGCAGGCATTAAGTGGGGTCTTGGAAATCCTAACTGCATTTCCAAACATTAAGACTTTGCGAAATAAGGTGACAAATCTTATACATTCTTCTTCCACGATACCTTTTGTATCTGAAATGTACAGTAACATTATTCGTGGATGCAGATTACATCATTCATTCATCGCATGGTTGATATTTTAGGAGGATCTATCTTTCCATGTCTTCCAGTTGTTTTAAAGCAATTGCTCATGGAAAGTGAGGTACCTTCTTCTCACAAGCTTTTGCTTTTTTTGCCTGTATCTTGTGCCTTTGGTGATGCATCCAGGGTAACTCAATTTGATCAACTATTCCTTTTCATTTATTATTCTGAGGTTACTCCATATATTATTTGTATGATTAGGAGACTGGTGTCACATTACATGTACTCATATCGGTTTATACATTGCATTTGTACTCATTTTTAGTTAAGTCTACTGAAGCCACTAAATAATTTATTGAGTGGTTTATGCTAGAAATTTTGTGATGTCTATGTTTCAGCTGTCTTTTCTCCATTTTTGACTTTAAGATTAACTCTGAATGAAGAACTTGTTATATAATCTATCTAAGTTCTATTTTAACCTTTGTCTTTCATCTGAAAATTTCAGAAATGAAAATTGTTGAGCTTCCTTCTTGGTTGCAATAGCTTAACTATAACAGGATGTCCTTGAGGAGACATCTCAGTATTTAACACACTGTGCGGTCATGAGGCCAAGGGTTCAAATTTTGCTTAAGCATGTAGTATGTGTGTTATGTAATATTTAAATGAAAGAAGTAAACTTAAACAAAAGGAAGCTCAACAAACCTTGTTGTATGTTTGTGCTTGCACCGACTTAAGAAGCTGGACATCAATGTTAAACAGGAAAATGGCTAAGGTGTCATGACCCAGCCTGATATGATAACTTACCCATTAATTTGTTGTGTTTGAATTACTAGCTTAAAATGCATAAATCAAGTTAATGGTAATACATCTATTAGACTCAATCCAAATCTTTCTGAAATGGGACTACCAACATAGCCTAGATCAAATCATAATATGGTGGATATGAGGTCTAGGTGGCTCACGAGGAGTACTATGAGGCTCTGTCCATAGGGAGGCCTTTGATCAGGCATCAATAGGAAACTGAAGAGACACGTGTAAATCCATTTGATGAACTTCTCATGAAAATAATTTTTGCACAACATACACAAATAATAGGAATGGTATCAAAATCCTTTTCCATATCAAAATTTGATAATGTCCACCTAAGAGTTCCATAGAATATGTCTCACCTGGCTTTTCCATATTAAAAATTGATAAAAACTACACATTTTTACTCATAATTTCATAAACTCTGTGTTGCCTCTTAAGCAAGAAAAAATTTATCATACATTTGTGTGCTTGTCACAAGTTCCCTGTGCGCAGGACTTGATAGATCATTTGTATATCTTTAATCTGCTGACCATGACTTTTGACAAGAGGCTTACAAGTAACACTATAGGGAGATACACATATAGTAAGTCATCTTTAATGGGTTCAGTTTTCGTAATGAAAGTGAGGAAGGTCTTTCCCCATGGAGTTGGGAAGATATTTTGGGTTTAAGATCTTCGAAAAGTGGCAAGGATATCATGGCCTAACTAGTTTTAATGTTTTTGAAAAATTCAATAGTAAATCTATCAAGCTCTGGAGCCTTCCTATTGAGATTTTTTACCTAAAGCAAAGGGTTGAATCAAGTCATCATTGCAGCGTGCAGAAGAATCAGCTTTGGTCAGTGGACCAATCAAATGTTTAACTGGAACTCACAATTGATCCTGTTGTAGGATACTCACTAATGTTGTTCTTTTTCATTTTTAGTAGGATGAAAAACTGAAAGATTAGTGTTTTTGTGACCATCTTGATTCCATTTTACCTATATTTGTTCCTAATTCATTTTACACAATGTTGTTTAGAGACCATCAGTTTGATCGTTACCCAAATTTTTGTCCTGCTTAACTTGGCGTCTCTTAGTCTCATTCTGATCTCTGAATATTCTCGACCATGTTTTTCTCTAGTGTGCATAAATATTATCTTTAAGTTAGCAATATACTTTTAGATAATTTGTGAATAATCACATAAAATTATTTTTTGAATTGATGTTCATTGGTGAATGGTCCTGTAATTGATTAACAAAGCCCAATAGTACATATGACTGTTTTACCAGTTTCATTGATATAAATGTCATCATGCACAGGAAACATGTAAGACTGTTCATTAATTTGTGGTTTTAATGAAATAATTTGAAGTAACACGGTTTCCTCTAATAACTAACTTGTGAAACATATTTATGCCACTTTTAAGGATAGGTATGCCTTTTAAGATGTCATTTATGATTTTTTTTCTTCCTCCACCATGAAGGTGCTATTTTTTTATTCAGAAGCATACAATTATAAGCTAATTGTTCTTTCAGCGAATTTCCTTTTGTTTTGACGCTTTAGCTCATGATTTGCAGCCAAAGGATATGGTGGATTTTCTTGTTTTAGTCAATCAATTAATAAGCAAATTCAGTACTTCTGTAGAGAGCATACTAGAAGAGATATTTCCTGCTGTTGCTAGTAGACTGATTGTGATACTTTCAAAGGATGCCTTTCCTTCAGGCCCTGGATGCAACACGGAGGTATGGAAGCTCAAATCCTCTACAAAGGTCTTTCTGCATGCCCTTAATTTCTCTGGTACAAATGCTGTGAGATTTTACAATTATGAAAATGATCTGAAAATTTTCCTTCTGATAGTTATGGCCGACTTGGATCCTAATCATACTTTCTTAGTGATGTGCACTTAATGAAAGAATGACTTTGGTGAATACTTGAGCCAGAACTCAAATAGTTTTGGCAAATGTCTTTGATACAGGTTAAGACTTGTGGGAAAAGCAGATTGAATTGTTGACTGAGCTTTTATTTTTTGAATTAAAAGGAACAAAAAGAGGATGCTTTTTAAGGATGTTAGCAAAATAACAGTTGCATTATTATGATAGTAATGACTCATGCAAAGAAAACAAAGCTTCGGTCAATGAGATAACTTATCAGCTGGATATTTTGTGAACTCTGCTTAGGTGGTATTCATAGGTGTACATCTCTAGTGTGCTCTCTTAAAAAACTTCTTTCCTACTTCCGTGAACTATTCTTCTACTAAAACATGAAGAATTTAATTATTGTGTATGGTTATTGAAATCCCATGATTAGTAATTTCTTGGGACTCAACTTTAAATGCTGCCATGAAACTTAATAATTATTACAAGATCCATTGGTTATGTACCTGATTCCATGTCTACTTGGCTTCTGTAGGAAGTGCGTGAACTTCAAGAACTGCAACGGATATTATATACTTTTCTTCATTTGATGGCCAACCACAATCTTTCATCAGTTTTCCTTGCCCCTAATTGTAGAGGATACTTGGATGCACTAATGCAGTTGCTTTTACTAGCTGCTTGCAGTCACAAAGATGTACTTCTTAGGAAGGTACGGAAAATATTTTGCGGTGCATAGTTATTGTTTCTTGCAAGCTTCTATGTTGGCAATGTAATAGAGTTATGTTAAATTCAGAACTAGGAAACTTGCAAATTTTCTTGGTTATGTAAGAAGATGCTCAAGTTAAGTTTTAAACCTCACTCTGGATGGAGTTTAGGTGCCTTGTGGCGCCCTTTTTCCTAGCTCTTAGAACGAAATAGCAAAGTAAATTAACTAATAACTAAGACACCTACTTCATGTTTATTTTGGCAGTTGTGTGTCCAAATCTTCATGAAGCTCATCAAAGACTGGTGCACCAATTGTAATGTTGATGATAAGGTACTCTCTTTGCTATTAATCATTTTTATCATGACTAACCAAATACGTGTTCTTCATTTTTTTCAAAGTTTGTGATTCCAGATAATGGTTTTTGCTAAAAAAAAATTTCCAGGTTCCTGGATTCCGCAGCTTTATAATTGAGAAGTTTGCAACTGATTGCTGCTTGTACAGCGTGCTTGATAAGTCATTCGAATTCCACGATGCAAATACCGTATAGTCATCAATACCTTTTCTTTTACTCTTTATGCTCAGCTAATGCATGAAATATTCATTTATGACTTTTTAGTATTTCATAGTTGCAATGCAAGATGGATCTGCATTTTTCCTAAAAAAAATTCCCCATCAGGCTCGCAATTAGACACGCACTGGCCTCCAGTATATAATACTTGTGTGCTAGCATACAACTTTGGCTTGTTACAATACTTGTGCTTTTTACAAATCCCTACTGACCATTGTCCCATAGGTGATAAAGTAACATGAAATTCTTCATGCAGATTTATAAATACACTAGAAGGTAGTGGTCTTAAGAACATAAGGTTCTTTTTGCAAATGAGAGAATAATCTAAGTTGTCTATATATACTTTTATTTGAGAGAAATTTGCACTGATCCAATAAGGAGGTCTATCCGTGATGTTACTTATCCATTTGTTTTCTAATAACCAAGTGCCTTACTGGACATTGGTCAGCATGGGTTGTGTTTCATGATGCTGGGCTAGTTGGCCACCGTGTTGGTTAGCACAAGCTAAAATTTGGGGTGTGGTGTACGTCGGCACTATTGACATTACTTTCATTGCATGTTCTAGCACCTGTCTAGCATGTTATGATCTGTGCTGATCGGCATGCCAAGCCTTGCCTGTATAACTCTCCCTTTGACCTTTTCTCTTCTAAATGTATTTTAGGCATGAAGAAAGTGTTTCAATGGCTCTCTCCCATCTCAGTTTTCTTTTCTCTTGATGTTTACTATACAAACTATTTAACAACATACCTCCATCAACAGTTGCTTCTTTTTGGAGAAATTGTGCTGGCCCAAAAGGTTATGTACGAGAAGTTGGGTAGTGACTTCATTATCCATTTTGTGTCTAAAGGGCTCCAAGCAGCTCATTGCCCACATGAACTTACAGAACAATACTATCAAAAGTTGCAGGTACAAGAACTATGCTAATGCCTTATTCTTCTGCAGTATCTTTAATTGTTTGTTGAGGTCTTTGATCTGACAAACTACCAGCTAAGATTAACAAGATATTGCAGAATTTTGAGCAAAATTGAATTATCCAGATCTGTAATGTATGGAAATCATCAATTTATCTAGAATTGTGTCAGAAATTTTGTATTGTCCTGTCGTTTTCCTAGACGTAGTTCATCTAACAGGTTTTTCATCTGCTCTAGGACATAATTAGGTCTAACTAGATGGAACATCAGATGTTGTTACACCTTCCTTATATTGACTTTCTTGATCTCTCAAATCTTTTCCAGCAGGCCAATGATATCAAAGCTCTGAAATCATTTTATCAATTACTTGTTGAGAATTTGAGACAGCAGCAAAATGGAAGTCTTGTTTTCAGATAGCACTACAATATTTCATGGCATCTTGAACCGGAGTCAACGTGTTAGATTGGTTAATAACTTTTTTCTATAGGATCTGCTGGTCAAATGCAGGTAGTCAGAAAATTTCTTCTTAATACAGTGTCATTTTAATTCTTTTCTTTCTTTTTTGGTTTCTTTCCTATGTTATTGTTACTATTTCTTTCAGGAAAGTTTTGTTGATGTACATTACCATCGGGATGTTTCGAAGATTGAGAAGGTATTCTTTGGCATCATTATTTTTACTTCTAACCATGATTTATGATTATTTTGTTTTTTCCATTAAAATTTCTACTAAACGTGATTGCATCAGTTTGACAAATACTTTATTGATGCCTCCTATTTAGATTTGATGCCTGCATAACATTGGCCACTGTCATTTTCCTTTGAAACACAGACTGGTTATGTTCTGGGAGATGTATATTAATCATGTATCAGAAGAATGATAGTTCTTTGAGTTTGTATGAGAAAAGCAGTTCCCTTTGAGAGTCTGTCCTGTTCTGCTGCCTCTCTCTCTCTCTCTCTCTTTCTCTCTCTCTCTCTCTCTCTCTGAGAGATAAACGTCAGTTTGATCTTGACGCAGTTGCCTTGACCTGATATTTGGATGCTAATCTGCCCAACTTGGTGGCAATGATGTCATGAGTTGTAGTATCCAGGTTATGCCAATACATAAAGTTTTTGATAGAGAAACACATATGACACAATTCTGAGATTGCAGATATAAAATAACAAGTTGAAGAGATGACTAAAACTTTACGATGCTCAAGTGAGAATTTGTGCTCAATGTAATAATACTTATTGATGCTTGGTAAATTTGTTGTATCCAAGGTTCGCTGATGCTTTGTATGCAAGGTTGAAAATTTCCATTTTCAAATTTTTAAAATAAAACTAGAGACCGTGAGTAGGAACTATTGCAAGATTGTTAGAATCTTATTTTCATGTGAACACAAACAAAAAGTTGCTTTGATGACTGATTTGATCATTTTGTATGTCATACCATTGTTGAATAAGGCTTTCCTAAGAGGTGTAGAATTCCGACTTGCTTATATTTTTCAAGATATATGCTGATGTATCTATAAGACTAATCTGATAAAGACTTCATAAGACATCCCATGCCACTGCTGACATTTTCTGCTGTACCTAACAACTCATGGAATGATGTTTGTTCTTGAGCCTCTTACGATAAATATATTTATTTAATAATGAGCATTAGATCATCCCCTTTAAACATTTTGTCAGATTGCTAAATTGGATTGCACCATTTGCCTTTGGTTCTTTGTGTGTGCAGGTGTATGTTGCGGGTATGCTTTCTTCAAGAAGGAAAAAGAGTCCTATTCTATTTGTTTAATTTTGAGATAAACAATAATGTATGCTGTAAATTATTGAGTCATTAATATCTACCCTTTCTTTCGAGTCAATTTGTTCACACATTATTTTCTCGTCTCGTATCCATAAATATTTGCATCCGGATGTGTTGAGGATATCCTTAAAATAGACTCTTTATCCACTTCCTGAACTGTTCTGGTCACATCATAATGTATATGATCAGATGTACCTCAAAGACAACACAGCAAGCAGCTCGACATGTTTGCACTATGCTCGACCAACAGTTACATCCAACACTAGCGAACGAGAGGCTCAGATAAGAATGATTGTAAGATAATTTTATGCCTACCTAATACCCAACTCAAACCACCAATCCTTCTTGCAAAGATGGCATGTTGAAACTCTCCAGACTATTGATTCTTGTTAAAACCACAAACACACAAGTAAAGAAAACCCCTAAGAGCCTTAAGTCAGGTTCTCTGTATCTGCCGGAACAGCTTGACGTCTCTCCCAGCAGAGGAAGCCGATGAATGGTCAAGCCCAGATTCTATTCTACATCACCGCCCTGAATCGAATTTTCTGCAGAGATTAGGTTGACTTGGAGCAGGAAAGATTCCATTGAACGATTCAGGCCACAAAAGGAAGGAGAACAAATTTCTAACCATCGTTCACATCTTCCATGTATAGGCTACGGGACTTCGCACTTTGTGCTGCTTGTTGCTCCAAGTGATCCAACCAAATGCCGTGCCGGCAGACCTCCCTCTTTCCTTCGACGCAAACGTAACACTGTACTTGAGCTTCTGATTGACGTGTTTGAACATAAGCTTCGCCGGCTTCACCGTCACAGCAACACCACCAGGCCCGCTTACCTTCGCTTCATAGGTTGACGACGCCGAGCCAACATTCGTCAGCTCTCTTCGGTACTTCACCACTCTCCATTTCTTCCCGAACACAACCGAGAATGATGGGTAGTTCAGGTTGCCAGGATCTGAAAACCTCCGCGAGCAGGTGGTCACGTTAGGCCTCTTCGTGATGGCCTGGATGTGTGGGATGGTGTAGTTCAGGGAGCAGAGGAAAGCGATGTAATCGTCTGCCGTGATGTCGTAGACGAGGCCCGGGGAGAGGGCTCTCTGTGGATCCACATGGCCCGCACCGTAAGCGAACGGGGTGGCGTATGACCCACCGGCAGCATCGCGAAGGGGAGAATTGGTGTTGTCGAGGACGTATGAAGTCGTCATGAGGGCCGACTTGATGGCAGCAGGACTCCAGTTAGGGTGCGCACCCTTCAGCAATGCAGCAACTCCACTGATGTGTGGGCATGACATCGATGTTCCTACATGAATAAGATCGACAACCACGAGAGAAAGTTATGATCAGCATACACTCACTCTAAAGCTAGCAGATATGACTCACAGAGCAAACACATACCGGACATGATGTTGAATTGGGTCCTCCGGCCATCCTTGAGCAGCCCGGTCGGCCCGATCGATCCCGACCACCCTGCCAATATGTTCACCCCCGGCCCGATGAAATCCGGCTTCAGTATCTGCGGCGACACCGGATTTGGCCCCCTTGAGCTGAATGCCGCCACCACCGGCGACGGCCGCACCCCCAGCACCGTCCCCCCGAAGCTCAACGCTCCCCTCGGTCTCGGGTTGGTGGTGACGTACTGCCGAATCAGATCCCCTTCCTTCTTCCCCACTGCTACTGCCGGCAGCAGATGGCTGTCCGCCACCAGCTCCTCCCCGTTGGCCGCCGTGTTCGCCAGTATCATCCCCGCTCCTCCGGCGGCCTTCACCACCGCCCCCTTTTCCACGCGGGCGCTCACCCCGCGGTCGCAAAGCACCAGCTTTCCCCGCACGCGCGCGGGGTCCAGCGTGCCCGCGAGGCACAGCTTGCTCGCGTTGCTCCTCCCGCCGCCGTACACCGCAGGGACCAGCTTCTTCCCCATCCCCTTCCCACTGTACAGCGAGACTCCTGTGTACCGCGCGCCGTTGCCGAGGCGGGCGGTCGCCGGGAAATCGCGATCTAGGGTGCCGGCGCCCACGGTGGCGATCCACGGGGCGCCGTTCGCGAGGGTGGCGGGGCCGGGCCCGCTGTTGCCGGCGGAGCAGGAGACGAAGATGCCGCGCTCTGCGGCGGCGAAGGCGCCGATGGCGATCGTGTCGCGGAAGTAGGGGGTGGAACCGCCGCCGAGGGAGAGGGAGAGGATGTCGGCGCCGTCGGAGATGGCAGTGTCGATCCCGGCGAGGATGTCAGAACCGAAGCACCCGGAGGCCCAGCAGACCTTGTAGGCGGCGACGCGAGCGGCAATCGCCATGCCCCGGGCGGTGCCGGTTGCGTACCCGAGGAGGCTAGCGTTGGCCACGGCGGAGCCAGCGGCCGTCGACGCCGTGTGCGTCCCATGCCCGTCCCGGTCCCGCGGCGAGTCGTACTCGTTGGGCTTCCCCCGCACGGTGCCGTCTCCGGCAACCGCAGCGGCAGCTCGGAAGCCCCGGGAGAAGCTCCTGGCCCCAACGAGCTTGCGGTTGCAGAGCGAGGGGGAGAAGTCGACGCCGGCCTCGCAAGCGCCGTGCCACCGGGAGGGGACCTCGGGGAGGCCGGCGGCGGCAGAGAAGCTCGGAACCTCCGGCCATACGCCGGTATCGAGGACGGCGATGAAGACGTCGCGGGAGGCAGCCTCGACGGCCTGTATGGGGCGGGGAACGGCCGCCGAGGAGGAGGCGTCGGGTGCGAGACCAAGAAACTGCGGGGAGCGGGTGGTGTGCAGGGTGAGTACAGGGTCGGGGTGGAGTTGGACTACGGCGGGGGAGCGGCGGAGGAGGTCGAGGTGGTGCGGCAGCAGGGAGGCCGCGAAGCCGTGGAGGGCGTCGGAGTAGGTATAGAGTAGGTGGCGGCCGGGGTCGATGTCCAGAGACTGAAGGTGCGCAGCGTACCAGTCGGCGTGGGTCGGGTGGACTGCCGGCCGGTGGGCCGGGTTCATGTACACGATGTAGGTCTGGTTGCCGCAAACCAAACCCCCGGCACAAGCCAAGAACAGCATCACTAACGCCGTAACACTTGCCATACTCCTCGTCACCGAAGGTGGAAGCAAGACGCTCAGTTGTTCTCTATGAAGTCTCCATGAGGTGGAAGGAAGGCTGCCGTGTTTCAAATAATATAGGCGGAAAAAGGTGAGTGAGAGAGAGAGAGAGAAGAGAGAGAGAGAGAGAGGCAATATTGGTGCTGATGTCGTGGTGGCGATCTGCGCTGCTCACAGTCACAGAGGAGTGCCGCAGGCAAGCAGAGGAAGAGCTTTTGAATGGATTCAAACGGATAAACAAAAGGAGGGGACAGCTTCACAAACACACACACTCGGACTGACCCATGTCGGGTAATGAGCTTTTTCTTTCTTTTGTTTTGTCTCCTTATTAATCCCTTCGCACCTAACAATATATAATCTGCAGACGTCCTCCTCCGTTCCGTCAACTTCTTCTTGGATTTTGTTTTGTTGGATACGCATTTCTAGATCGTATTAAAGATTTAGCCTTCGTGGAGGGAAGATTTTGAACCCAAGGGTGTCAGCTCTTCCTCTCCTTTTCCGTGTACGGACTTGTATGGATAGATCCATCCACGCGGTGGAACTTTCCAATTAGAAAGAATTTTGGGAAATGTTTCTCTCTTTTTTTTCCCTTTTTTTTTAAGAAATATTCTTTTTTCTCTTTTTCCATTTGTCATAACCACTAAAATAAATTAAGAAAGTCGGAGATTACACCCAAAAATCGACTCAATCCTCCATGTATAAGATTATACCGCTAATTATATTTATAATATTTTTAATACCTTCATCGAAACACTATAAATCTATTCAAAAATATTATAATTGAGATGAATTACCTCAACACTCAGAAAGAAATCATCTCACACACAAAAATAGTAAATAATAATTTAATAGGGTGATTTTTTATATCAATGTTTTTGAATAGGCGTATAGTGTTTTCAAAGCGCTGAGTTTATTCAAAAATATTATAACTAGAAATTTTACCCGATTAAATCATTGTATCGATGGGTCTATCAAAAATGACAAAAGTTGTTTACGCCTCTAATTACAGGATATTATGAGAAATATGACAAAAAGAAACATCAAATGAAAAATATGGAAACAGATACCTCTTGAGGAAAAAAAAAAACCTAAAAAGAGATTTTTTTTCGAGAATTTGTTTACTTTAACTGTATTTAAAAGTCTAATATTATTCTTTTTTCACTCATAGAGTATTTCTATTCTCATATTTTTATTCACAAAAAGTTTCCTTCATTTTTTTCAGAAAATAAAATAAATTTTCATTAAGTAATTACAAGCAAAAAAAACATATCATTTTACAGTCATTTAATTTTGGTCTCGTGGCCTATTTGTTAGATCCCAAAACACACATTCCATTCCATGGCCCCATTGCAATATAATTTGCATGCCCTCCTCAATGCCAGTGTTATTGTAGCCCTCATGCATTTTGAGAGTCTCACCTTCTTACTCGACAAACATGCAATACGTGAAAGCTATTTATGATGTGATTTAAGCTTCAATCGTTCCAAGGTGGCGTCATTCTGCCACAAATCTGGTGTGTCCTGAGATTGGACATCATCCATTTTGAGCGTCTCACCTTCTTCCTTTTTCAAGCTTTTCCTAACACGATTAGTGTAATTTATGGACTTAATAACAATAATTGATGAGGATAGTAATTATGATAAGACTCGGCTGACGTCAGATGACGCCTCACGCAATAGCATCTGGTCAATGCAGATCGAAACACCGACCGAGGCGCATTAACATCCTGTCAAAGCTCAATTCTTCACGCCACGCCAACACAAAGTCAGACGCTACCAGTCTGCCCCCTGCAAGCGGGCAGCTCAGGAGGCAGTATGCTTCCCTATAAATACCCTCTCGTTCATTAGAAAGAGGGGGAGGAACGGACACACAAAAACCCTTCTTCATTTGAAACCCCCTCCACATCAGCTAACCTGATCGTCGGAGGGGTTGGGCCGAGAGCCTCGGCTCGACCTTTGTGCAAGTGCGAAGCCGAAGGTCCCATCTGGACGCGTAGGCGAGGAGTTCCTGCCCGGAGGAGACGGCTACACCGTCCCGATCGGACATCGCACTCGACCGCCTCAGCGGGCTCGAGGAGCGCCCCAGGGAGATCCCGTCGTCCGGACCCAAACCGAGCCACGTCGGCCCCGAGGCCACGGCTCAAAGTTGTTTCCCACGACAATAATGAAATGACATATTATGATTGGAGAATTTTGGAATGCATTATAATATCTTTACTGAGCCACTAATGAAATGACATTACTGATTTTTATTTAAGAAAGAGACATCAGATGTTTCTGTTTCTACGACACTCAGTAAGGATAGATAGCGTGATCTAAAAGAATGCACTGACAAGGTTTAGGTTGAATGAAAGGAAATGATGTTTGGATGCTTACCTCGTGGTGACACAGAACCGATCAGTTTGCTGTTGTTCTTTGATGCTATGAGCCGAATCCACACGGCGTGATCGGGCACTACGTATTTGTTGACATGGCGAGTCGTGCTTCCTCTGCGACTGAGAACTGAGACGGGGATGTCCACAAGAACATGATGTGCCATAACGGGGTTGGCACACAGTGTAGTCCCTCTCATCAGCATTACCGGCGAATGACACAATAATAGATTAGCAGTGACGGAGAACAGGTGTTGCTTTGAGACCGGGGTGAGGTCCGGAGGAGAAAGGTGACCAAAAAAGCAACTCACCATAATAGCCATACTTTGGGGCCTCTGTCGATGTGGTTTGCTGGTAGGCAGGCAAATCAGTCGTGAAACGTGGGAGCCCCTTTGCGAACACAGGTGCATGACTACATCATGGTGCCCACCAAAGGTATCATTAACATATTGCACCACCACCACCACCACCACCGCCACCTTCCTTCTGTTTTAAGGCTATTATTGAGACCTGCCCAATGGCCACTTCGACTTGTGGAGGACCTTCCACTGTTTTTAAGAATTTGACCTGATGACATCTCAATTTACATCGAATTGGTTTACAACATCATATATGCCTTTTAGATTATTAATTCAATCCCATTAAGTTGATTGACGAGTTAAGTATCATAATATTATATGTTATGATCTGATCCGACGGAATAATCAAACTCCTACAACTCAGCATACTTTCAATGATGGACTAAACTAATTAAACCCTAATATGATGTATATGAGATTAGGGTAACTATAGCTTTTATGTCATGACTATCCTTTAGCCACATTAATGAATTTAGTATTTATATTAGGTTGGATTTAGTATCTATTAGGAAAAAAATATTATTGATATCTTAATCAGTCCAATGTGATTCAGATCCAGATGCGTAGGATTGTTCTACAAAGTATCTCTAAGGTGCGAATGTTAAGCTCTTATGATACTACCTGCATAAAGACCGAGGTTGAAAGAGTTTTTTCGACCTAATTCCTCCTATGCTTAATTTAATAACCCAATGTATAAGTGAATAGTTTAAGGAAGTCTCTTTTTTTCTATCTCAGAAATAAATTTTTATATCTAGTTGTAAAAGTAAGAAGAAAACTTATGATTATTTTTATCATCATAAATGACGATAAGAAAGTTTATGATTATTTTTCTCGTTATAAATAATGAGATAAAAACTAATAATTATCTTTCTCATCATAAATAATGAGAATTAATTTTTATTTTTATTTCTCTTTCAGCGGCACGTAAAGGTGATGTGCCACATGACAATGTATTCCCTATGACATAATTTGATAAAATAATTAGCTCATTAATTTGTTAAGTTTTAATCAATAATCTAAAATACATTAATTTAAACTAATAGAATATTCATTAGGCTCTCATAATTCTTTTTTATGTACAATTAAATTAGAGGTGTTATAATAAATGATAATTTAAATTTGGAAAACTTGAAAAGGCCTAAATGAGAAATGGTGGTCAAAAATATATTATTGATAGAATTGTTACATATGGAATTATAATATACATATAGAAATGGCATGGACATGGAAGTGAAGTGCTTGCATTGATCTCTCAAAGGCAGTGCTGCGAAAAAGTATGGGAGGGCTGTCGAGTCGTCGATGAGATCGAGAGGTTTCCCCATCTTTCGGAGAAGGGGAGGGGAGGTATGATTCGGAATAATGGCATAGTGCTCGAGTGCAAGCAAGCTCAGTGGTGGCGATGGTGGAGGCAGGTCGACGTCGCCGCCGCACAACTGTCATACATAGGTAAGTAATTTAGAAGGCTCGCATGGGATGTGGAAAGCTTCTTTTTGCATAAAGCTGCAGTGGCACCGCACTCGATCGATCCATGTGTGCATCTCATCTTCCCTCCTTTACACGCCGTCGTCCTATCGAACTCACAAGTGGCTGTCTCCGGACGCTCCCTCCATTCACCTCTCTCGGTTTTGTTTAGTGCTCTCTCTTTTTTAGCGACTTTAATTTGCATTATGGGAATCATGATGAGATTTCTTCGACACTCACCTACCCCTCTCCCGGTCGATTGAGACTTGTGGTGGATTTTGATTGTGCTACATTCGAATTTATTATAAATATAATAGATTAGATTCCGAAAGAAATAATGTTATGTGCTCAATGTTGGTATTATTCCACGGATAGTTACGTTGAATCATCGATCATTACTCGATCGTGAGAAGTTTCATCAGGCCATCTAGTATTACAAGTACCATCTATGTTTTTATTGGACGTGACATAGTCCTAATTGATACATCATGATGACGAGATGTCCAGAGTAGCATCAAGCTGGTATCGATGTAGGCATGAGGTTTGGTCGATGTATTAAGTTGACGAGACATATGTGATGTTGTCATTTGTGTAACATCCTAATTAGTTCCGCATCGAAGGATAAGATTAAGATTGATTTATAAGGATCTAATGAGTGTATTATTATTAATTTTAGTTTAAGCATTTTGATCAGTCGATTAGACTAAATAAAGTTGATAGGTAAATTAATCCATCAAGCTCGGGTCGTGACATTGATCGTACTACATTCGAGTTTATCATAAATTTAATAGATTAGATTTAGAATTGAAAAGTGTTATATTATTAAGTTGTTTAAAAGAGTCTTTAAAACACATTTGAAATCTTTTTAAATGAGACTTTTAAAATCATAGAAATTAAGTGTAGAGAGTTATTCCATGGGATAGTTATTTTGAATCATCTATCATTACTCGACTATGGAAAGGTTCTATTGGATGTGATAGAATCCTAATTGATGTGACAT